GGAGGAAACTCATTCTAACCTACAGTAAGGAGGAAACTCACTCTAACCTACAGTTAGGAGGAAACTCAAAATAACCAACAGTAACAAGGAAACTCACTCTAACCTACAGTAACAAGGAAACTCACTCTAACCTACAGTAACAAGGAAACTCACTCTAACCTACAGTAAGGAGGAAACTCACTCTTACCTACAGTAACGGGGAAACTCACTCTAACCTACCGTAAGGAGAAAACTCACTCTTACCTACAGTAAGCTACGTATTAATCATCCAATTTTGTCCTGTGCACATAGGGTAATGAAGAAACATTAGATAAGCTTATCAATTCACAAAACAATTATACCGAAACATATTTGTTAACAGAGCTCTCATGTGAAAACATCAGAAAATACCAACATGGCAACATATCAAATTTAATTTCAAATTCCATAAATCTAAATTATAAGCAAAATAAAAATTTACACGGAGACTCATGAAAAAAGTACAATGAGAATAAGGCCAGGTGTTCCGGAAGAGTAAGTTTCTTTTGATTTATTGACGACATCCGCCATGTAAACCTAGGTCAATCCAAGTAAGTAATGCCACGTTCTCAAATGAGAACAAGGTATGCAACAACGGAACCGACAGGCAAGCTAACGGGCATCAAATACGTCCAATGAGATCACTATGGCGATTGTAAAACTTCCCCATAATTTTCAGTAACTTGCATCTTTTCATCGCTTGTATTACGAGTTTGTTAGTCAGATGACGACTTCTTGCACGAAAATCGTGCTAATGGGAAAAGGCCCTTGAATATCGAATCAACTGTGAAATGTAAATACCATAGGTTAGAGATGTAGGGATAATTGCTATCCAGAAATGGAAAATTCACAATAGGGAAATTCAAATCAACACGTTTATCATACAACTTAATGAAAGCTGTCCATGATGGTTTCGTTGCCGGAAAAGATCTAGATAAGCCTCTGGCATAGAAGAATCTGTCGTATCTTTGATTTCCGTTTCTGGTAGATATACATGATGGACGTAGTGAATAAAATTTCTTGTTATTCAAAGACAAGACGTCAGTTGTGAATGGTGCACCCACTCCGAAACGCCAGTAAAATTAAGATCAAGTTGACAACAGAACTATTGACGGGAGGTCAGGTAGACACACCACTAACATTTTTAAAAAGTGAACTACAGAATTGTTGATGGAAAGCCAAGCAGACAGACCACTAACATTGAAATCAAGTGGACAACAGAACTGTGGCCGGGAGGTCAAGCAGACAGACCACTAACATTGAAATCAAGTGGACAACAGAACTGTTAACATTCATTTAAAACCATCATATTGCCAACAAAATTTCTCACAACCACGCCCACGACAAAAAAAAAATACAAAATTGCGAAACAAAAACACCTACTGACACCTGACAATCAGGGAAATATCAAGTAAATCTCATACATCTATTGACTACAATAATCTTTGACATGTTACAAAATGGAAACTGATTATAACGGCACATTAGTTTTGTACTTATAGCTCTGTAAGTCTGACCCTGTATTATTACAGACCATATTTCACTCTGTCCCGGAGTTGATCATAGACATAACAGAGCACAGGAACCCGTCTATCACGCTTCGTTAGTGTCACGTTTACCAATGACTTTATTTCAAACCAATTAGTAAAATGATTATTGGCTAGAGCTGATGGCTTGGAATCCTAGCACAAGATGTGTCAAATTAATTAATCAATTACTAATTATGATTATTGTTAGTGACACAACGCCACCCACGACGACCAGCATGATACATGTAACACTGCAGACAGAAACTAAATTTTAAACAACACAGGGATTTAAAGCCGGAATTCAGAATAAAAAACATTCCTATAAACATATATATTAAACACTGAATCTTGACAATCATCCGTGAATTGATACCGTCTAATGCGGATAATTTTATGTTCTGTAATTTGCTTTGTCAATAAACTCATTCCTTACCTTGTTACCAAGCTACAAACTCGTTTTGAAAATCAATATAGAAAAGTACTCGAAGGTCATTAACCTGGCGTGGATCGTGATACTTAAAGTACTACTTTCTATATATTGATGACGGTTCCGTGATATGTCTATTTATTTTCACAATTTTAACTTTGATCAAATGATTCTTAAGGACAATGAGAAACAGAAATCTTACTCATGGTTTATGAAGTTAATGAATTGACGTAATTAAACAATCTGCAATAAGCAAATAGCATACAACGGATCGTTGCAATCCTACCTCTCTCCATCCTACTATTTCCAGCCATCATACAACCGTCCAAGAAAAGGTACGAAAGTCCTGACAAGCCCCATGCCCACCAAGTATTTTATATTCCGTGAAATTCTGTGAAGGTTGTTATCATTGACAGGTTCTATCTCACTCCATTTTGTTGGAGATGAAATGAAATTCATAAGATCAGTTGCGTTGATCCGAAATTGATGGAGAATACCTGTACGATAATGAGTTCGTGGAATTGGTTTCGGTAGATATATGGCATTATTGTACCCTTTAACTAAATTGTAGAAGTAAAAGTTTATACACATAACAATTTATCTGGAAAAAAATTCGTATAAGCTTTATTAGGTTGAAGCCATCCCCCCCCCCCCCCCAAAAAAAAAAAAAAGAAGTCATGAAAAGTGCTGAGAAAAACAGTTTTTCTTATATATTTATAAGTTTTTACGAGTGTCTCTACAACAGCTTGTTATAAGGAAACTGACATTTTGTACTTTCTGAAGGAAGTCCTGAATCTAATAATTTTCATTTTTGATTTGTTTCTATTTAACGTCGTCACTAAAGTAGAGAGAAATATCATGCTTCATAATCACACTACACACAAAGGGTGTTTATAGAAGTGAGGAAGGAATTCCCTTATATAAGTGAAATCGGTATACCAGACACGGCGACACTTTGGAGGAAGATTTAAGGTAAGCATACATCGTATTACAACAGTACAGAACAATAATATCATCAATATTTAATATACCTTGGTAGTCATGTGATACTGTTTGGGTAAAAAACTTGATATAATACCTGTGAATTTAATGGTATACAACGCCCATACCACCCCAAATGACAGATTCAAAGGTCTGAACCACTGCCTAGTTTTACGAATCAATAGAACATTTAATTGTATGGAATATTTTAACAAAATAGGGTTTAGCGTAACACATCTTGATTTTCATATTGGATTGGTTGAAATAAGTTAGCTTAAACAATAGTTCGTTTAATGTTCAATAGCATATCAATAAAACACATATAGGTAGTTCACAGGGGTGTGGATAATTACTTGCATATATACACTTAGGTTTATGTAGTCTGGGCCCCGAGAATCTTATCAGTGGGTGTACAGCTTCGGCCAGTTAATTAATTAGAGATTATCCCCACTTCCTTGATAATTAAACTTGTGTAATTTACCGTTCGGACAGTGACCACCTAGTGGTGGAGTAATTATTAGGGTCTATTTCAAGTAACAAATTAGCAGGAGGAATCTCAACCTTGCACCTCGTGTACAGGTGGCTATACTTCAACAATCGTATCATCTAGCAACAAGTGAAATCCATATAAGGGGATAGCGGGACAGAATCGCTCAAGATGAGATAAATAGAAGCTAGATTCTGGGGATAGGAGAGAAAGGGTTTGGACACCCGACTGCACGGTCATAGACGGCCTTGGGAGAGCCCACCAAATGGAAAGTTCTGATACGAGACACAATGTGAAGTACTAGTATGAGTATATGAACTCTGTATGTTGATGAGATGTTGCTTTTGTACATGTAACATTATTATTATTCAACATGTAATAAACATGGCTATTACCAACAAGTACGTGTGTTTACGCCTACTGTGTTATAATATAATTTACAGTCGGTATTACGATTCTGTTGACAGGATGGTATTTGGTTATACCTATACTGACTCTGTTCTGTCTTCGTAATGGAGTCATTCAGCAATAGTACTAAATACTAAAAATAATTTAATTCAGGATGTCCTCCATTGAGATGAAATCTGCATCTGATAATGTAGATCACGAGGATACCAATTCTCGGGACGGAACAGAACCGACCGTGGAATTGGAACAAAGTCTGAGGAGTGCCCTCCTGCAACATTTCCAGAATCCCTTTGCTATCTGTGGAAGTCATAAGACTGGCAGATCTGTTAGGGGTCCTGTAAAATTGGTGATGCTCGCAGCCAAGATACTCTTCGTCGTTATTACGGTTATGTAAAATTTGTACGAAAAGTATACAGAATGTAAACAAATAACATTGTTTCATGTTAATGAAAACTGACTGGATGAGGCAAAATATTGTGCAGTAACAATGGCAACTGATTTGTATTATTTGTAGCAACTATGTGACATAGTTATGATGAATATACAGTAATCGGTAGTTTTTGATAAACATAGTGACACTTGATTTAATTACTTCATTATGCATTAATTTTAGGTATTTGAGAAATTGCAATTACTTTTCTCATAAAAAAATGTTTTGAAAATTCATTATATGAATTAAGTTAGATTAGACCCTATAGTGATTTTTAAGAGAATGTAAGTATATGTTTAATGATTGGACTGGTTACACACGGACGTAATAAGTGTGGAATCGTTTCAAAATTATCTCTACAACACTTATAATTGACCAACCATACAAACAAACAACTAATTTACATTAGGAAGTATGAGTGTTTGGACGTTTTCTTTCATATCACGAAACAGTCGTGTAATATGATCTTGTGATAAATATTGAGTTTCAATAGCATGTATTAAAATTGATTCCATATAAGGAATTTCAGTAAAAATCAAAATTTTTACAAAATAACCAGATTATATTGCATGTATTTATGCTAATACCATAATCATATGATGCATTTTGTAGTTGGTTAAGTTTGGAAATGAACGAGCAAGTTTCGCTAAATACCTTGATCGAAACAGTCTGGCACTGAAGCGATTGCTACTGATGGATTGGACAACTTTGTATGAGACTATGCCGTATCCTCCGGCCACTGGACAGTACGCTCTCTATAGTATAGATGAGGTCACCAGCCATATCAATTACGCCATTCGAAAGGTTGGAAACACTTCATGTCAACTCATTATTTTCTTTATTTCGAATGTGCATGTGTCCATTCCATCCTTTGATATATCTATAATGTCCGTTATGTGTATGAGAACATCGGCCATGTGACTTCGCAATCTTTACAATTTGTTATGATTAGTGACAACAGATACCTGGTTATTTCAGTCCACAAATCAGGAGGATATAAAAATCTTTTGTTTCTAGTCTTCTGACAATTTCATGGTTTACATTGCAAAATTGATGTCTTGGCGTCACAAAGACTGTAGTTTGGTAGCCAAGTTCGCTTGTAACAGTATTTAGACTTACACCAAGTCAATTTTTGTCTAATTGAAATTGACACACGTCGGAAACTCTAGAATATCTTAAATATTATGACAGTGGATGAGAACAGATGATGGAGCCCATTATCAAATTCTTCCTGTGTCGTATGTGACAAAATATTGTCGAAAGTAATTAACAGATAAGTCCATTGCCTTCCCGATTTATACTTAAGATATGTAAGATATAAACTTTACTACTGTTTTATTTCAAAACTAAATTATTGTAACTGCAGTTGAAATCATTGTTTGACTCTACTATATCTAAATCTAAACCTCTACCATAAGGTGCTCTATACTTGTGTGTGTTCTTTAAACGATTCTCGAGATTGCTGGTGGTAGTCACTGCTGGTGTTCTTTAAACGATTCTCGAGATTGCTGGTGGTAGTCACTGCTGGTGTACTTTATACAATCCTCGAGATTGTTGGTTGTAATCACTGCTGGTGTACTTTAAATGATTCTCGAGATTGCTGGTGGTAGTCACTGCTGGTGTACTTTAAACGATTCTCGAGATTGCTGGTGGTAGTCACTGCTGGTGTACTTTAAACGATTCTCGAGATTGCTGGTGGTAGTCACTGCTGGTGTACTTTATACAATTCTCGAGATTGCTGGTGGTAGTCACTGCTGGTGTACTTTATACAATTCTCGAGATTGCTGGAGGTAGTCACTGCTGGTGTACTTTAAACGATTCTCGAGATTGCTGGAGGTAGTCACTGCTGGTGTACTTTATACAATTCTCGAGATTGCTGGAGGTAGTCACTGCTGGTGTACTTTATACAGTTCTCGAGATTGCTGGAGGTAGTCACTGCTGGTGTACTTTATACAGTTCTCGAGATTGCTGGAGGTAGTCACTGCTGGTGTACTTTATACAATTCTCGAGATTGCTGGAGGTAGTCACTGCTGGTGTACTTTATACAATTCTCGAGATTGTTGGTGGTAGTCACTGCTGGTGTACTTTATACAATCCTCGAGATTGTTGGTGGTCACTGCTGGTGTACTTTATACAATTCTCTGCTGGTGTACTTTATACAGTTCTCGAGATTGTTGGTGGTAATCACTGCTGGTGTACTTTATACAATTCTCGAGATTGTTGGTGGTAGTCACTGCTGGTGTACTTTATACAATTCTCGAGATTGTTGGTGGTAGTCACTGCTGGTGTACTTTATACAATTCTCGAGATTGTTGGTGGTAGTCACTGCTGGTGTACTTTATACAATTCTCGAGATTGTGGAGGTAATCACTGTGGTGTACTTAATCACTGCTGGTGTACTTTATACAATTCTCGAGATTGTTGGTGGTAGTCACTGCTGGTGTACTTTATACAATCCTCGAGATTGTTGGTGGTCACTGCTGGTGTACTTTATACAGTTCTCGAGATTGTTGGTTGTAATCACTGCTGGTGTACTTTATACAGTTCTCGAGATTGCTGGAGGTAGTCACTGCTGGTGTACTTTATACAGTTCTCGAGATTGCTGGTTGTAATCACTGCTGGTGTACTTTATACAATTCTCGAAATTGTTGGTTGTAATCACTGCTGGTGTACTTTATACAATTCTCGAGATTGTTGGTGGTCACTGCTGGTGTACTTTATACAGTTCTCGAGATTGCTGGTTGTAATCACTGCTGGTGTACTTTATACAATTCTCGAGATTGCTGGTTGTAATCACTGCTGGTGTACTTTATACAGTTCTCGAGATTGCTGGTTGTAATCACTGCTGGTGTACTTTATACAGTTCTCGAGATTGCTGGAGGTAATCACTGCTGGTGTACTTTATACAGTTCTCGAGATTGTTGGTTGTAATCACTGCTGGTGTACTTTATACAATTCTCGAGATTGCTGGAGGTATTCACTGCTGGTGTACTTTATACAATCCTCGAGATTGCTGGAGGTAGTCACTGCTGGTGTACTTTATACAATTCTCGAGATTGTTGGTTGTAATCACTGCTGGTGTACTTTATACAGTTCTCGAGATTGCTGGAGGTAGTCACTGCTGGTGTACTTTATACAATTCTCGAGATTGTTGGTGGTATTCACTGCTGGTGTTCTTTATACAGTTCTCGAGATTGCTGGAGGTAGTCACTGCTGGTGTACTTTATACAATTCTCGAGATTGTTGGTTGTAATCACTGCTGGTGTACTTTATACAGTTCTCGAGATTGTTGGTTGTAATCACTGCTGGTGTACTTTATACAATTCTCGAGATTGTTGGTTGTAATCACTGCTGGTGTACTTTATACAATTCTCGAGATTGTTGGTTGTAATCACTGCTGGTGTACTTTATACAATTCTCGAGATTGTTGGTTGTAATCACTGCTGGTGTACTTTATACAATTCTCGAGATTGTTGGTTGTAATCACTGCTGGTGTACTTTATACTTTATACAATCCTCGAGATTGCTGGTTGTAATCACTGCTGGTGTACTTTATACAATTCTCGAGATTGTTGTAATCACTTAAACATTATGCTGGTGTACTTTTTCAAATGAAGAACATTTGTATTATCAAATGTAGTGTGACTTACATGACGGATTTACTTCAATACGTTTGTTAGCAATGACAGCCCTGTTAACCTATGTGTGGATTATTACGACCTTGGAATTTACAACATGGCCACCAATGACATACAGTTCGACCAAACTCGGCGTAAAGGTCAGATTATGGGACTAATGCACCTTTCCGTCTAGGTTTTAACTTTTCTTTCAATCACTTTGGATTCTCCTTAGTCGCCTCCTAGGCTTCAAATTTTAGACTCTTAGAATCACTGACGAGTCAAAGAAGGACGAAACAGCTCAATATACAGTTCGTTATTTGTCTCTACTGCATCTACACTAATTTAAGTTTCAAAAGGTACTATTCACTTGTGTATCTTTTGTTCTATGTATGAGCTGTCAATAAATGTCATTGTGAGGAATGTGAAGTCAACATATTAACATTAATGAATGTATGTTGGAATCATTCATTCGTTAACTGTCAATAGTCAGAGGTAAAATAGTTTAGGAATTTCATTCGAATCCAAATATTCAACAAACTTAATTATCGTTAGATTTAAACAACTATTTCCAACTTTCCACTTAATTTACTGAGAATTTTCGATGGTCACTTTACTGGTCACTCAAACGGTCGATGTTAGGCGACGTGGTTACAACAGGATATTATAGAATAACAGAAATAATTGGTTGTGGATAGTAATAGAAATAGTTCCTCGTGATTCTTTGCGTTTAATTACTGATATTTATACCAGTGTGTCAGGACGTTGGAATCCATGCCAACAATGAGTACCACTTAAACCTGTCCACTCTGGATTCGATGGGAGGCGACAATTTAAACCTGTCTATTCCAGATTTAATGAAAGGCGACAAAGGGTCTCTTGTCAGGTACGTATACAACAGTTTGATCATAATTGATATACATAAAACAATATGTATTATATAAAGAAATTTGAAAAGTACAAAATCTTATTTAAAACAGAAGTTATCATTTTTAATTGACTTTGAGTTTGGCGATACATTTTGTTGTCCTATAACAGCCTGTAAGTGTTAGCTCTATATGACTCATATAATTTGCTTGCCCTGAGTAACATCATTCGAGGGCAATCTAGTTAAAGACCAGATAAATACTTACCCTGTGAATTAATCGTTTTAATTGCATATTTTATTTAATTAATATTTTCAAAATAAACTACGAACATTGAGAAATAAATAAGAATAAATATTTTTGATCATCACAAAACAGAATACATCAAATACAAGGTGTTCTAGTTTTAAAACTTAACGTTTGTAACACTTTTATATCGAAAAAAAACATCTCTGATTTGACAGTTTGTTTTCTCTTACTTCTTTTCGGATGAGTGTCACCCACACAAATACTTTATTAAATTCTTAATTTATATTGATTAGTTCTATTCATTTGTGTGTTTTGTTCAATCATTTTGGCTGAATATACTTTGGTTAGGGTGAATAAAAGATTTGAGTAAAACATACAAATGAACAGGGCATATGACGATAATATAACTTAAGATGACGTTCCATATAGTTTAAATGTGAATTCGTTGTAACAATTGCAGTAGTGCGCAGGTTAAAATGTTACTTTTGAAATTGACTATTACATAAGGCCAAACCCATGTTAAATTTCACAGCATCGGAAACCTTCCAACAATTAAAATAATATATATCATTGAGAAGTTATTATTAAACATGTTGAAGAGCAAATAATGTCCATTAGGGTCAAACAAAAAATATTTTCAACTTTTCCCATCATTTGAAGTAGATGAATTTGTAAACACGTATATATGTTTGATAATTAGATCCTAGATTTTCCCCACAGGCTGATACGAGTACAAATAGTGTTCACCGTGCATTCGATACATGTAAATATGGAGAGCTCTGATACCAGTCCAAGATGTTTCCATATTCAAGGAACGGTAGGCATCTGTATAACATACGTGTATAATAATGATGTCCTTGATGAATGTTTTAAAAATACCAACCATTACCGTTTCTTAAGCAGAATAATTATCATTACATTATTTGAATATATGATTGTACGACGCAAGGTAAGATTTTCTTTAATTCAAACAATAACTCATACTATTAATAGAATTCAGGCTTCAACGACTGCTGCATATTTCTATAGATGTGATGATTTGTATCGAATTTGAATGATAAAAACCCTTGAGACTGATTTCAATAATATGTATGTAGCACATACTAATGCTATTACAGATAGAGTTTGATAACTCAGATATCAATGGCCAGATCCCGATTCACCTTCTGTCAGATGCATCAGAAATGGTTTGTACTGTCAATGGGGCAACATCAAGCTCAGGTAAATTTTTGTAAATTTAATTACTTAAGCATTAGATATATATGCGTTACGTTCAAACCTATCACGAAATATAGTCAACTTCGATTGAGTGTTCTATTGGGTAAAAGTTCTTAGAGTTCTTGAAAACTAAAACCCCTCTCAAGTTTGTATTGCTTGTGTGGAATTTGGGTTATATAATAGAGAATGTTCCATTGTGTATGATAATTCTGACGTGTTACATAAGTCAAGATCGACACAACCCGGAAAAGACGTAAACAGAGGAAGGACTTTGAAAATGTACATGTGTGATACGAAAATATGTTCCGGAAGGTTGCGCTTTCCGTCTTCTTCTTCAGCGACACTGCCCCATATATTTATGCCAGTTATACGCAATGTCATGTACTCATAAGAAGAATCGAGTAATGATATTGCGATAGCGACTATCACACAATGATATCATCTTCATCAATCTCAAAATACTGTTTTATATGTTCCTCTGTTAAGTGCTCATCTTTGATGGAAACCACGATAAGGTCTAGGATTCCAAATCAGAGTAATTATGTAGCTATGGACACGGTTAATACAACAACGTTAATAAAAGTTATGTAAAGACAAGACAGTGTCAGTATATCTAAAATTGAAAACGAAGATTGTGGCAAGCTCTTTGTTCCCATTTATGAGAAGCTTTTCAAGTAAGTTAAAAGCGGGACACAGTTCCATGGGTGTGCTAGCACAATGAAGCATATTGAAAGATTTTATCACCAATTTCGACGAAAATATTGTCAAACAGTAATTTAATTATCTTCGTGATTATATATTCAGTGTAACTATCAGTGTGTACCGTGGTTTGCATTCCTTTGAACACACTATCTGACTATTGGAGAATAATGACGTTCCTTCATTAGTAATATGGTATTATATCATGCATTTTGGGGTATGATAGTCTTTCAAACTTTTGTAAAAATAATTCTTATGTTAACTACGATGTATACATCAAAATCTGGGTTTACAATCAATCTTCCGATCATGTTTAGCCATACAGGTTTTAAAGCCGAACATTGTTTTCAAAATCTTATTTTTTAATCAGATGACATTGAGTTGTAAGAAGAAATGCTTCAACTTATAATTAAGAACGGTGTTCTTTAATGGTTCGTCTTATGTTTATGTAGTATAGCTGGTATCAATTAATATTTTAATGTTCTGTTGTATTGTAGGTGAACCAAGTGTGTTTGTCCTCTGCAGCATCAGCATCCTTTTCACTGCTCTTAGTTTCGTGTTAAGTTTACGTTCAGTGGTAACCGCTATACATCTTTGTTGTGTAAGTGTTCCCGAGAGGTATTGGTATACAGATGTACACAATAGTATCTACCAGTGAAATTTGGCATTTTTTATGAAATGAAAAAAATGTTATCGACTTAAAAACACATATGTTTTGAAGCAACTGGTCATATACTACATTATATACTAAAAGAACGTTCTTGTTCTTGTATAGTAAAGACAAGAATAAAAAAGTCAACATAATCATAATCTAAATTCAAATTCAAGGGCAAAATTAGAACAAATGAGGATTCATACAGACTCCTGAAAAAACACAAGAAGAATAAAACCAGTACATACAAGAGTGATGGTCGGAATCGCTTTTTGTACTTTATTTTTTGCGTCATGTACTGTGAATGAACTAATATAAGTGTACCAATGATTTCTCGAAAACTCTGAATTCATAGAGTTCATTTGGGTCGGGTATTCATTTCTGTAGATTTCGTGGGTACTTTTGAACCACGAAATCTTATGTCCACGAACTGTCTGATTAGTCTAAGTAGATCGAAATAAAGTGTCTACATATATCATTAGTAAAAACAGTAATACCTATCTAACATTATCATAGATGTGTGATTACAATTGTGCTGAATTTATTGTAGGATACAAACTAAATAACAAGATTTTGTTATTTCTATAGAAAACCAGAAAACACATCCGCACCAAGTTTGGTACTCCCTTAACTTTGTCAGAGCAGTTGGAGATCGTAAACGCAAAAGAGTTCGTCACCCTGATTGGCGACGTCATCAGTTTTTGTGGATTTCTCTTCTACATTGTACTCAACTCACGTGTAAGCGCATTTGTCACAGCTCATCAGTTCGTTTTCTATAAACAGTGTTTTGCATATAGTTGCACGAAATAAAAACACCGGAAAAAATATCATTCGTGTTCATTCACATCTCCACCTGTCACGCAAACTGTTCTTTTTTCATCAGAATTTGTCCTATAGTGAAGCGTAAAAACCCTTTTGATAATTTGACATCATATCAATATGTTAATCTAAGGTCTGTTTCCGTATAACTCAAAATTCGTCTCTTTCGTATCACAATATATATAGGAAATATTAGGTGAGTAAGTATGGCTACATCTCCTTTTGTCAAAAGGGTTTCTCAATGGTATTGAAATGTGTTTAGTTTATCGTTAATGTAAGAAAATCCAGGCTTTTCGAACACTTAACCTTCCTGTATGTGAAGCAATAACGACCTCACAACAATCAAGGTTTAACAAAACACCCTATGAGATTTGATGAGTCAGGATCAGCTAAAGTACAAATTTCCTTAATTATATATGCAAATATTCATTAACTAGCAAACATAGCATGTCCAATGTGTTCTGCGTTTTTCTGCGAAATGTTTGTTAACACGAAAGGAAAATCAGCAAGGAAGGAATATTATTAAAAATGTTTACATGCCAACGATAGAGAAAATCTAAGTCAAGGAATATATGGTAAACAATAATGTCTGGTCGAATTTAAGTACGATACCAAGGCCAATTTATCCCCAACATTTTTGGAAATGACGCTTTTAGGATCTCCTCATACACACAATATGAAGGTTTTGATTGATTTATTTTACTGGGGACAGAAAAAGGAGACAATTACACTTTATACTAAACTACTACAACTTCCTTGTCTTATTTCCCTAAAAACAGATTTATGCGTTTAGTGTATTTATATATTTATTTGCATCAAGACAAACTTGATATATTATAACTACCTGTATGTTTGCTCCACATTTTCAAAATCTGTTTTCGGAGTACATTGTATATCTGGTTTGCTGGACCTTACGGTCAAATCTTTTATCCCAAACATATATTAAAAACTGTTGCAATGGCTTGAGCACAACAGTTAATAAATGCATAAACAATAAGAGTTCACCTCTGTTACATATACAGTTAAACTTTGTTATTTCAAAGTCGACTGGACCGTTGAAAAACTTGAGTTATCTGAGTATTTCATTTAAAAAATATCTAAAGTTTGATGAGAGGTTTGACCGGGACAGTTCGAGATAACGAGGTTCGACTTTATATTGTGACACGTTTTCCTCGGGTAAGTCGTTTAAAGAATAAAAGGACCGTTAAGAATTTTCTGAATGACGATGACAATATTTCAATACCTCTTGTGTCGTACTCATTAGTATGCGGACTATATTTATTTATCATTGTATTGTTCAAGTTATTCCTATTTCTTTATCATGTATCCATATTGTAACACATGGACGTGTTCACAATTTGTTAAAACAGTTAATGAGCTTCGTATGTTGTTCATTTCAATTAATCTCAACAATTTGACATAACCTCAACATCACTGACGAGTCCAAGAAGGACGAAACATATCTATGATGCAGTTTAATTCTCTGATTCTGAATTTATATTCAAATATGTGATATTCACTTGTGTTTCCGTGTTTCAGGTCTTGCGTTCGTCGTCCGCTTTGTATGACATCAGCGGTCTCCTCCTGGGCACAGGCCTGATCCTCAGCTGTTTCGGTGTCCTCCATTTCCTCTCCTTTAGCCCTGGATTCCATGTATATATACCTACTTGGTGACAAGATTTTGCAGTATAAAGTGTTAATTATATATGTTTAAGATATAAATAAATCGGAAGGAAAATCGTGTAAAGCAACACGTAATATCATTCTGAGTTAACGTTATTTTCAATGGTGCCATTTGGCCAAAATGAAGAAATCTGAATTGTGCGAATGAGTTTTTTTATTCCACAGATACTGTTCGATGTGATGGGGAAATCTATCCTGCCGGTGTTACGGTTCCTTTTGTGTGCTGCGGTCTTGTTCGTAGCCTTTGCTCTGTGTGGCTGGATAGTGATGGGACCATATCATATTAAGGTACAACATATAGCAATGTATTCCAACCTTATGTATACTGTTAACCTCAGTTTTACATCGGTTACTCATTCTTGAGATGTCTTTCGTTTCTGCCATCGTCCTCAGTGTCTATGTTTCGATTTTAACACCGTTATTTAAATATATCAGACATGTGCGCTTTTCTATTTGTTGTCTAAGATTTTGTTTTCATAAATTGTTCTTATTCGTGAACCATTCCAAATGTCCATCATTAGATTGATAGGTTATTGTACCTGGATGAATTTGTATATGTTTATTCCTAAATTCTTTTTATCTTTGTAGCGTTTAGAATAGTCACGGCCTTTTTAGGGGTCTTCTTGTAGCAGCTAGTTGCCTACTCATTGCACAAAATACAGGAGCTTTGTTGTATCGTATCTATCCTATCTAGGGTTAAAGTGCTTTGTCCAAGGACACGACCATGATAGCACAAATCAGTATGTTTCTCAGCTCCTCGGGGAAAAGAAGCTGCCACGAGTAGGGAGCTTCGAATATGAAGTCATTATTATATAGTTCTATAGTAAATACATGTGACTTTATGGCTGTTTTGCAGTTCTCGTCGATCTACAGCACGTTTCGATGTCTGTTTGGCCTGATCGCAGGAGACGAGGTCTATGTTACATTGGCCGCTATAGGCGAGGATTTCTCATTTTCCTGGTGGTTCTGTGCCGTCTTTATCACCTTTTATAGTATTATGTTTACCATTGTGGCTCTCAACATCCTCATAGCAATCTTTACAGCCAGCTACGACAGCATCAAGGTAGGTTAGCCAAATCTCAGCATTAAGGTAGGTTAATTAAATCTCCGTATCAAGGTCGGTTCACCAAATCTCAGCATCAAGGTAAGCTAGCATAATCTCAGTATCAAGGTACGTTAGCCAAATCTCAGCATAAAGGTAGGTTAGCCAAATCTCAGTATCAAGGTAGCTTAGTCAAATCTCGTTATCAAGGTAGCTTAGTCAAATCTCAGTATCAAGGTAGGTTGATTAAATCTCAGCATCAAGGTAGGTTATCCAAATCTCAGCATCAAGGTAGGTTAGCCAAATATCAGCATCAAGGTAGGTTATCCAAATATCAGCATCAAGGTAGGTTATCCAAATATCAGTATCAAGGTAGGTATCCAAATCTCAGCATAAAGGTAGGTTAGCCAAATATAAGCATCAAGGTAGGTTATCCAAATATCAGTATCAAGATAGGTTAGCCAAATCTCAGCATCAAGGTAGGTTATCCAAATATCAGTATCAAGGTAGCTTTCCAAATCTCAGCATAAAGGTAGGTTAGCCAAATATCAGCATCAAGGTAGGTTATCCAAATCTCAGCATCAAGGTAGGTTAGCCAAATATCAGTATCAAGATAGGTTAGCCAAATCTCAGCATAAAGGTAGGTTATCCAAATATCAGCATCAAGGTAGGTTATCCAAATATCAGCATCAAGGTAGGTATTCAAATCTCAGCATCAAGGTAGGTTATCCAAATCTCAGCATCAAGGTAGGTTAGCCAAATCTCAGTATCAAGGTAGGTTAGCCAAATATCAGCATCAAGGTAGGTTAGCCAAATATCAGCATCAAGGTAGGTTAGCCAAATATCAGTATCAAGGTAGGTTAGCCAAATCTCAGCATCAAGGTAAGCTAGCATAATCTCAGTATCAAGGTAGGTTAGCCAAATATCAGCATCAAGGTAGGTTAGCCAAATCTCAGCATCAAGGTAGGTTAGCCAAATATCAGTATCAAGATAGGTTAGCCAAATCTCAATATCAAGGTAGGTTAGCCAAATCTCAGCATCAAGGTAGGTTAGCTAAATCTCAGCATCAAGGTAGGTTAGCTAAATCTCAGCATCAAGGTAGGTTAGCCGAATCTCAGCATCAAGGTAGGTTAGCCAAATCTCATCATCAAGGTAGGTTGACAAAATCTCAAGGTTCTAGTTCAGTTTATTTGATCATAACAGATTGTCAGAGATGGATGGTCGATCTTATTAAGGCCCCGCACGAAAGTGCAGGTGCCTTATAGCAATCACGGTGCCCGCCATCTTTCCATTCGTCCGTCCGTCAGTCTTACAGCATTTTCGTTTCCGTGCGATAACTTGAGTTTCCTTGGGCCAATCAAGCTCAAACTTCAAAGAATGCTTTCTTGCGAAAAAGGCTTGCGTTGGATTGCTTTTCGGGTCCCGGGGTCAATGGTTCAGATTACTGTTACTCTATGAGAAAATTGGTTTCCGTGATATAGCTTAGGTTCCCTTGGGCCAATCAAACTCAAACTTCATACCATGCTTTCTTACGGCAAGTGCTTGCTAGGGATTTCTTTTCAGACCCAGAAGTCGAAGGTTGAGGTTATTATTGCAATAACGGAAAATCCAATCTGTGGATTAGCTCGAGTTTCCTTAGCCAATATCACTCAAACTTGATGCAACACTTCTTAACATAAATTGCTTGTTTGATATGGATTAACATTCAGGTCCAAAGGTCACTATAACAATAAGTTAAAATCAGTATCTGTGCGATAAATTAAGTTTGCTTTGCCCAATCTTAATCAAACTTCATACAATGCTTTCTAGCCAAAAGTGCTTGTTTGGGATATTGCTAATTGATAGTTCTATGATGTAGGTTTCTCTTGTTATATATTGAAATCAGATTATTGAATGTATTTGTTGGTAGGTGTTTTTATAACAGTCTTTTTTTTTTTTACTTTTTTTGGCAGAGTTTATTTAAGGTCTAGCCAGTAATCCGCCAGTCATGGTGTATGTGTGTGTCTAAAGGGGGGAGGGGGATTCCAGACAAAGAGCGGGGGCCTTGATGACCTTTCAGTGTTTTAGTTTTAGGCAGAAATCAATTATAGAAAACAAGATTAAGTTTCAGTGTATTGGATATAAATAATATTGTCATTTAACATATTATAACTTGTCAAATTATTAGTTAAACAAATAGAAGTAACTTCACACATAGCAATGACTACCAAATGTTCATTATAAAGTCTTGTATTTTCAGAGCCACACCATTAGAAACCGTGTGAAGAGTACCTTAATCAGATTTATGAATGAGTGATACCTACTGATAAGGACAACAAGTGATAACCCACACGCGCATGTCTAACACCTCAGGGCTGCCCGCCCGGATGGATCTCTCAAATCGCAAGAGGAGTGTAGAGACCGGACAGTGTTGTCTCCCTTACAATGTGATACATCTTGATATTGTTTAATGTTATTGATTTCAAATGGGAGAGCAAAACTGTAAGAGTGAGAGGTGTTTCCTTGCTTTCCTGTAACCTGTATACTAATATTTGAAATGATGATGCCATGTCCAATGGTGTCAAAATAATATTTTAATTACTTACCACGTTTAGTACTGTATGTAGGTTTATGTTGATTATAATTTAATGAGATGCCTTTGTTCTGAAAGGACATTTACTTTAGTAAAAGCGTCATACTCCTTTTTGGCGGATGATACTAAGTTTTCGATAATATACATGGGAACGCTGATGTGGATGTCTTGTAGGATGACATACATGTAACACTTACAAACTAGAGTGATAAATGGTAAACATTTTTTTCTTTAAAGTGTAAATCCATGCATATAGGCCAACCCTGTGGAGAGAGAATATATTACACAGAAAATAATGAATGTAAAGGGAGAATGATTTAGGGATAAAAACAGACAGATATCTCACACTTTAAGATAAAACAATTATACATGTAAAGGAAGCTAACTCTAATTTTGCAGTCATAAGGCGATCTTTTCACCTTCTAACAAACACATTTATTTTCTGCGATGCAAAACATTTGTAAGAGATGCAAATACTATATGACATCCGAATGAGGCAGTACAAAGGAAAGTTACAAAATTGATACCCGGATTTCTGGGATAAACATATCCGGATTGACTTAGGAAACTTCAGTTTTTGAGTTCTGAGGTACAGAAGATAATTGTATAACGGATTTTATTAAAATCTGGAAGATCAGTTACAAAGTCACGAAGAAAGAGGACATTAAAATAATGTATTTCCACAACATTCTATATATTCTAGACATTCTAGATATTCGCTAGAATTTTTCCCTTGCTAATTGTAAGAATGTGGAAAAATCTTCAGGAAATTGTGGTATCGGCACCGAACGTAAACACTTCTAAAAATAGACTGGATAAGCATTGGAAGAACCAAGAACTCCTATGTAATTTCTAGAACTAGATCTGAGATATGATGCAAATAACGTCACATTTACTTATTTTTTCATTATTTCAATGTTCTGATTTTGAGTCCGGCCTAGTGGATCTCAAGGTCGATCACCAAGAAAGACAATACGTATTTGATAACCATTATTTAAATACCATTAACCATTACCTTTTGATGGAGATTTGGTTGCAAATATTAACATTTGATCAATATTCTATGTAATAATTGATAAATTATTATCAAACCGTATAAGATAAGCTATCACGCAAGATCACGTAACTTTTATAAATATTTGTCCTTTTCCGATTGGGACAGTACTCATTTTGTAGTATGAGATACGCCGGGTGTAGGCGGTACTGCGGGTAAATCGCTTGTCGGTGGATGTGGATGGGGGTGGGGCGCTTTTTTAACGTTGAGGAGGGGAGGTCTCCTTTGAGGATGGTGCGGAGTGTATTGGAAAGTTTTGATATTATTGCTGACCTTGCCTTGTAATATAAATAAAGCATGTACACCATGGAACATAAGACTCACCTATCTATCAATACTTGTAACTATTTCAAGCTGAAGTCCCGAAATTTTTCACTTAAGTCCGAAAACATTTTGTCACTTCACGCCGAATCAATATTTTCAGATTTAGGTGAATCGACTTGTACTTTCATATCCACTTTTACTTCTAGTAACCATGGCAACAATATCAAACATCAATGTCTCGTTACAGAATGTGATTTTTAGAGTATTGCCCATGTATGCTGCCTGAAAGTTAAGCACTATTGACCCAGATTATTAGTATTAGGATAGGATATTAGCATAAATTTGAACTAAACATGTTTATAACAAACTCAAAGGGACATAACTCTACAGTAAAACAGGTTTATTGCAAACCAAAGGGACATAACTCTACAATAAAACAGGTTAAAAATTAAGCACTATTGACCCAGATTATTAGTATTAGGATATTAATATAAATTTGAACTATTAATTTTTCATTTAGGTTTGCACTCAAACGGAAATTTCTCGATACTCCAGGATCACTTTCACTCTGCACACCTGGGATAAGTCATGGCAAAATTGAAGGCACAAGCGAAGTAATTTGATTGGTTCCAGGAGAAAGAAGACCAATCACAGGCTGATACGCTCCTTTTGAAGATAAAAAATGAAGCGACATCCAACTTCAAAGCCATTACAATATATCGTTATTTGACCTAGCGATTCGTTTGATGTACATTAAAGGCTCAAACTGGTCTTTTTGTGTTGTGCACAAGGTGTCGCCGAAAGTGGTTGTAACCCCTGGAGTATCGGTCAGAGAGCGGAAGTGATTGTAACCCCAGGAGTATCGGGCTGCGAGCGAAAGTGATTGTAACCTCTGGAGCATCGTGGATGCCTCTGGTTAGTCCAGGAGGAAAGCCCTGGTGGGGAAACAAGTGCCGCTGTCGGTTTTTTTTTTTTTATCAGAAACGAGTTCTAGTGGGTTTTTTTTTTTTTTGAAAACTACAGTAAACAGATATTTTACGATAAATTTAACTTGCTACGATAATTACTTAATTTATTTACATGTGTTTACTGCAGTCATAACAATAACCCAACCAATTACAGTTCCGCATCAAAATTAGAATATTGTAAATCAGTAACGAGTTAATGTTTACACAAAGAATTCAGAAACAATACTTCGAAGTGTTTTAAAGGATGTTGAAACACGCATCTGTAAGATATGTGAAAACGGAGAGTTTGGAAGAAGAAGGAGTAATGTTTTAACCTGCATATATAGAGAAAATTTCTCTTTCGCTCGATCGGTTGAGCGTCAGGTTAGTAAGCCAGAGATCTGGAGTTCGAATCCTAAGGAGTAAGGGAAAAAATTACTTCTGTTACATTGGCGCCTATGTAGGTACTCGAGTGTAATACTTAGCGTTATTTTCACAAATACATTTTCGCTGTAACCCCTGGCCAACTCGAGGACAAGTATGTAACCCTGGTAAAATACTAACGACAATATCGCTCGGCTAGAGAGAACTTTCTTTAGCTCGATCAGTTGAGCGTCAGACTAGTCCTGAGTTCGAATCCTAGCGGAGGCATTAAAATGAATTATGACCTCTGTTACATGCATGCTTTAGCTATGTGCATATTTCACCAAGTCTGATGCTGGTTGTCAATGATGCATGCACTTTGTACATGTGTTGTATAGAGAAAATAAAAAGATAAAAGAAATGTTTTCAAACAAATGTACTTAGTATGATCAGTTGAAATCATGGGTATCAATTGAAAGCTCTACTAAAAACACGAAATATAATAAAAGGACAACAACTCTGTAATTAAAGAGTTACGGCCCCTGACTTTGGTGCAACTCTGTCACTAAAGGGGATCCTTGCTGTTCGGCTCGAGCTCCTGGCACGAAAAGGACGGACGGACGGAAAGACTTTGAAAATTAATCGAGCTACCGTTCATTACGTTGCTGAAAAATGCATGCGCACTGAAGTTTAATGATTAATTATGGGTAAAAATCAATTTCAGTTGATTTCGTCTCCTAGGCCTTGTAAGTAAACGACTCTGAGATTTTTGATGGAATTAACCACGGCATTGCAACCAACATGCTTAGGAATAAGGACGCACGTACGGACAGACAAATCTATATGCTCCCCTAAATTTTTCCGCTCAGTAGCAAATTGAGAGAAAATTCTTTATAAAACAAGCAAACTGCCAACAACGACAACTGCACTGAAATCATACGATGACTTAAGATCCGGATATAATATTTCGTGGAAATCGTTTTCAGTATTACAATTATCCTCCGGAAGGTTAGACAAACGTTTTAATGGATGAGCCAAACAGTTGTTGTGATACAGCTGTAAATTGACGTAGACGTTTCTGAAAACGAATATTGGGCATCAAACAGCTGTTAATCAATGAAATGTTGTCGTCATAAACAACATTACAGAAGTGTTAAAGGTAAGAATGATTCTTATATTTCATTTTGTATATTGCGAACGCATTCGTCTTTTTACAAATGCTTTAGAATATTATTGAATGGTTCACAATATGAGACACACCCACTTCCTTGGGTTGACGCTGATCGTAAGCTGACAGCTGGCCGATAAAGATCAATGTACGTTCAATTAGATGGAGTACCAAAGTTACGTGCAAATTTTTTTTACCATTTATTTTGAAGTTATCACGAAGGAAACTGCTTTCCAATTTTGTCGTGATTATTCAACATGAAGTACAATATGTACATCTTGTGATTTGGCAGATCGAGATCTTGATAAACATTACTTACCTCACACATATGCATTGTAGATACATGTATATAGGTGTATATGTATATATAAATGCAATTGCAAGTGATAAAAGAATAGGAACAACGAAAATAGCCAAATGGTTGGATCTTACCCTTTTTCTGATATACATTTATGTACTTCAGCTGTACTTTAATTAAGAGTATATGACAGTTGTAGGTTGTATTAAGTACACAAAGATGTGTGCAAGTGTTGGGAAGATAAATGATTTTTTGTGTATCACCTGTTCATTTTGCATTAATTACTTTGTTATTGTTGAGTTAAAAAAAACCTGTATACATGTGATTGTACTGCCACGATACTGTTACTTTGTTAATAATGATGACGTAATGTTTTAATGTTTGTTGTATTAAGGACTGTGCACGGATCAGCAAGTAGACGATGAGCCAGGCTCCCCTATCCATGGTGTACCGTAGTGACAAACAGCTGCCTGTACTATTCCGCACTTTACATGGATTTTACCGTCTGGGAACTTTCTGTGATGTGGTCCTTGTGACCTCTCACTGCAGAATCCGTGTCCATAGTGTTATAATTGCAGCATTTAGCCCATTTCTATATCAGATGCTCGGTGGGGAAAGCTGGTCAGTTGAGCATCGACAGCTAGAGTTGACATTGCCAAATGTTGACTACATTTCCCTGTTGAGTCTGATCGAATACTGCTATACTGGAGTGATCACAGTGGATTCTTCGTCCGCTGACAAGATCTTAGGAGTGGCCATAGCTTTACAAGTGAAGGAAGTGGAGAAGTTGTGTGTTACATTTCTAAATGCACAGAGGAGTTTCTCATCCGAGGTATCAAATTCAAATCATCTGTATGAAGTTTAAATATTTATCTGGTATTAAGCCTATGCTGTATAACCAAACCCACCTATATACTATATTTTCGGAAACATTCACCCATGAGGATTACTTTTGCGTCCCATAAATATGCTATGCAGTGTTATATTCACCCTGAAATACTTTAAATGTTTGTGCTTAAACATCAAATTTTAGCTTACTTGATATACTTTTGCCTAAATCACTAAAGGGCAAATTGGTGAATGATAAACAATGGCAAAAGTTTCCCAATATACAGGATATTTCTGCTCAGTGATATTATTAATTAATGCTATTTCATTGTCACAGGATTAACCCCCCCCCCCCACAGACATTCAGACAGAGAATGAGGCACCCTGGGCTACTCTTGCCAGTTAAATGCAGTCAATACTTATACTTCACTCCTGACTTAATGTGAATGAAGTATAGTTTGAGTAACATCTTCACTGTTACTCAACTTCTTTGTACTGTTCTCATACTGGTCCTAACATTTTCTTACTTGATGACATGTGATACATCTGTATCTTTGAAATTAAGAGTTTTATATAGAGTTTATTTTCTTTTCACAGTTGATATTGGATTCAAGGCCTCCAGGCATCCCTTCAGCATCACCTGGAAGGGGAGCTAATTCACGTGAGCCATCCTTGGTGGAAATATCAAGTTCAGAGCGATTCAGTCCCAATGTATCAACATCAGGTCAGCCTTCATCAGAGACAGGATCTACAGGCCACCCAGATACAGTACACTTGGACTCTGATGTTATTGCAGTAAAGACAGAGACGCCAGACCCTTCCCAAGATTATGGTGTGTATGGAAGAACTCCTAATCAATGCATCTCATATTAGTACTGGATACATTTAAACTGGTTTAATACAAAACCAAGGGACATAAGTCTACATTAAAACAGGTTTATAACAAACCAAATGGACATAACTCAACAGTAAAACAGGTTTATAACAAACTCTAGGGACATAACTCTACAGTAAAACAGGTTATAACAAACCCTAGGGACATAACTCTACATTAAAACAGGTTTATAACAAAACCAAGGGACATAACTCTACATTTAAACAGGTTTATAACAAAACCAAGGGATATAACTCTACAGTTATACAGGTTTATAACAAACCCAAGGGACATAACTCTACAGTAAAACAGGTTTATAAAAAAATCAAAGAGGATATAACACTACAATAACAACAGGTTTATCACATGCATAAGGGGACATAACTCTACATGCTGTTAAGACATGTTTGTGACAAATTCCATGGGATCTAGAAAAGAGGTTTTTCCCTTGGAATAAAGAAAATGTTTTTGAAATCATTCCTGATTAAGCACATTTACTAACAAGAATACACCATGACTGTAATGAGACTGTATGTACTGATGGGCAAATTTGAAAAGTCAGCATAAGATTTCACACTATGTACTTGTATTGACAGTGTTTTAAGCAAGAGCTGCATGTTCCATATGTCATTGTATCAGTTTCTGATAATAAAGGGAACAATATTTAAGTCTAAATCTAGTATAGCTGTTCTTATTGGATTTTGATTTGGTGTATCACTGTTGACCAGATCCCATGACAATGTCTGATGAATTTGTGTTTAAATGTATATTGTAGTTAATTTCTTTCAGTTGCAATCATTTTTGTCAATAAGATTTAAATGGTGTGATTTTGACTTTCCAGATGCCAATTTGTCCCACCAGTCACGAGGCCGTGTTGTATACTTGGAGGGGTCAGAGAGCCCCGTGGCAGACAGTCACAGACCTGGAATGTCAACAGTATCTCACAGCATCATTGATATGTCTAAGATGTCCCCAACTCTTCTCACTATGCACCCTATGTTAGTACCAACAGGACCACCCACCCTTCAACTGATGTCTCCCAAAGGGGAAGCAACTCTAGCTCGTCAGTTATCACAGTATCGAGAAGGCAGTCAGGACAGTGTGGATAATGTTTCACCAGAAAGTGATGGGGTCAGTGTTCATATTCAGTCTCCAACTGGACAGTTGGAGAGTGACCAGTCTCAGGAGCTGCCCAGAGATGACCATAAACAACCAATGACTGTTCCCTGCAGTGTGTGTCATGTACTGTTTAACAGTGCTGATGCCCTGACTCGACACATGGCTGTTCACCAGAGGACTGTGTTGTCCTCTAGTACACAACAGAGCCCAGCTCTCAACACCACAGTAGAGCCAGTAAAACAACCTTCACCAACTTTTTTTCAACGTGGTCATCAGCCTATATCTGGACTGTTGTCTTCAGCAGTGGTACAGGGTGGGGGCGGATTATTCAAGTGCGGAACATGTGGTAAAGGTTTTAAAGATGCTCAGTCTTTGAAATTCCACAGATACAATCATGTTCTCAGACACTCTTGTAATATGTGTGGCAAACGTTTCTCAAGGAGCTGGAATCTTCATCGACATCGGAAAACACATTTCCGAATGCCCTCCTGGCCTATGCGCACAGATTTAAGAGTAGGCGAAATGACAGGTTCGACAAGTGCAGATAGCCTGAATCAGTCTGTGGACATGGAACAATCAGTAGATCTGACAGAGGGGGAGGATGACAGTGCAGAAAGGGGAGATGAAGAGGAGGAAGAGGAGGAGGAGGAAGGGAGAGGAGACCATGTAACAGATCTATTGAGTGGGGATATGGCTTAAATGTGTACTGCATAAAGATAATAGTGTTAATATATAAATAATTTACGTCATTTTATCTAGTTTTAAACTGAAATGAACATTGTACTGATATATAATGTCTACACTTGTTAAAGAACATTGATGTTAGAAACGTATTTATTGTTCCATCACTCTTATTGGAATCTTATTTCATCTTTTTTCAATTTCATTTTCCAAACCTGATTACAATATCATAACTATGTTGTGTTAATGATGATATACATTATATGTCATTCAATGGGGCATCTTCGTAGGCACTGACAGTTTGATGTAACCAAATGTACATGGTTTAATTTGAAATAACAAACAAATGAAACTCTGCAAAATAAAGTGGGAAAAAAATCTCTATATACATAAATAATTATCTCACTTGATGTGAAAAACTTCAGATAAGGTTTTGAATATGTTATTGTCTGGACTTTGGTAGTTCCCCTTGTCACATTGTTTAACCATCCTTCCTTGTTGTTATAATACTGTTATATCTGGTGAAGTTGTATATAAATCTGTTAGTTGTTTTAAAGTTTAGCTAATATTGTCTAGTCATTGTCTATTCATCTGTTCCCTTGAAGATTAGAGGGATGTGTTATTTTAAGAATAAAGCTCCATAAACAAGTTAAGAGAATTTTAGGTTGTTTTTTAAACAATCTTTAAATCTTATCAACATTGATACACCTTCTAAACTTTTCCTGAAATAGGCACAAGGAGCAAAAACCTAACAAGAACCTAAGGGTATAGTTTTCATACCAAACAATGACACAGCTATCATTAGTACTGACACTACAGCAGATATAGACCTACTGAACATCTAGACATCTATATACCTACTAAACATTTCCTGTGACAGGCTCAGGGACAAAAACCAAATTTAAACCTAAGGGAATAACTGTAATTAGTACTAACCTTTCAGTAGATATAGGTTACAGTCGGATAAATAAGAGTGCACATTTAATTCATTCTTCTCCGTACCTGTTAATTATTTTAAGAAATGGTTGAGGACAAACACTTGAGTCCTAATTTTTTTCATTCGCTGGGTTTATCACTCTATGAACAGTCTGTAACATTTGAGGTGAGATATCTATGTAGTAATTTGTGGATAACTCACTGAACATCACAGGCCTTCCATAAAAATCAGGGTGAAATGTCTTGTTGAAGACACAACAATGACAACACAAAATGGTCTTTTCTCAATAAACAAAGTGCCCTTGTTCTTCACTCTGTATACAACATATATATAAACTACATGAACACGTTTGTTTGATTTATAACTGATTTATTGTATAATGACATCATTAATACTAACAAAAAAATGTGAGACAAGTTTGTCATTTGACAGAGACAGATAACGATAAATACATCACTGTGTTTACTGTGTTTTCAGAAGTATTTCTATGTCAGCGACATTAATATCCTTCTATACTCACCTCACTACACAGCTGATAATAACCCTGTTAATATTATTCAGATAACCGATTTGCATTTTTAAAAGACATCTGACAAAATGAGACAGTGATGCCCTGTTACTGGGTAGCTGAGCCCACAAGGATATACATACTGTATGTCAACTTATTACCATTATGTTGAGCTTTAATACCTAAACATGGTACCTTATTTGTATTGGGGGAGAAACCCTATTCAAACAACCTTGAATCTACAACTGAATTTTTTGTTTCCCTATTGAGACGTTCAACAGCCAAGCAATATCATGCTGCATCATGAGGCCTAGACAGGTGATTCACACAAAACCAAATTAACATATCCAAACATACTGGAAGCCACCATAATGAGAAATCTGTTTTGTAAAAATAGAATCTGCTATGTATCATCAGTGATGGACCTTTTTTCTCATTCAGGTATCATTATATAACAACATAAATGGGTTTTATTTTGCGGCTAACCACACAGAAAGCAACTTTTGGTGTATCTATGAAAATAGTGGGAAAACAAATTGTTGTGAATAACCACCTTGACAACGTACCATTTTCTTTGTATTAGTGACTTGTTCACTGACTTCTGTTAGTTAAAACAATATACAGTCAACATACACAGCGATAATCTTATCTTAGTACGTCAATATGTGTTGCAATAACCTTGTTTTAGCCGTTTTCACACTTAACATAACACATTGAAAAATGATTGCCTTTATTGCACTTTCTGTACATTAATAAATGTTGCAAATATTGTGGACATACTAATTCTAGACTGAGCTGTAACAAAATAAAAGAATTATTTGCGTAAAATAATATGTTACAATGTTTGATTTTGTCATATTGGGTACATATACATTAAATGTATGATCTATATAAAACATACATGCACAAATCTATACGACTATTAAAATATTAATTAGTTTTCAAATACAACCTTCAGTTGAGTAAACAATTTATAATCTACAATTGTTTTATGAATACATTTAAAATGGATATCTGTTAATTCTAAGCTCCACCTGACTATTCCAAAGCAATCTAATATAAGTACAGGGCCAACAGACAATTTCTTACTTAATGTGCCATGATCTAATATTTTAAGATTGATGTCAGGCTCAAACGGTTTTGCTAGACAAGCTTTGCTCAATAATAACACAGCTAAATTTTCATTTGTATATTTGTACTACTGAAAAGTATAAAGAGATAAGTGTTAAACCCAGACTAATTTCACACAATTTTCTGTTGAGGTACACACATCCTTATGTTTACAACAGTTCAGCAATCATGTAACATACCGTATGCTTGGTAATTTTCACTAGACAAATTTTCACGATTTGCTTATCAAGCGATCAAATTATTATTCAATTGTCTCATTATTTCACCAACTGAATTTTCACAATCATTTACTGCAAAAAAAGCAAAAATATTGCCCTAAGAAAAATAACTGGCTATTTGGTATACAATTTATATTCAAAATATATATATAACACTGAAAACTTTCAGGACAACAAAAACAGTCTGTAGCTGTAAAACTGCCATATACAAAACATTCCGGTATTACCCTCTCTTCCGTTTATCTGCCATTATTTCGGGTTTCATGTCCAGCAGACCAACTTTCACTTACATTCAGGTTGTACTTCATCTTTTACCTGAACTTCTTGATACAACATACTTCCAATTCCTCTAAAATATCAAAAGTTCACTACACAAAGTAGAGATATAGACATAACAAGGCTTTACAAAAATATATATCAACAAGTTATCACTGGCACTTTTTAAGACATCAGCAGCAAGCTCCTCAGGTGTACAGTATTGACGATTTGCGGTCTAAGATCATGACCAGGACAAATAATTCCTTTATAATATACTGTTAAAGTTATCTTTCAGAATAAAATAGTGGAAAATTGATAATGTACCTTCTAATTCCTATCAATGGTAAAAACCTCACTCATTTTCATGATTTCCCGACACTGAAGTGACAATAAGTGTAATGCATAGTTTTGAATGTAGGGGTTTAAAATACAGGTACATAGTATATATTCTTTTTGCTTGTTAATTTCATCAAAGGTTAAAATTTAAGCCATCAAATAAAATAACTTTTACAATACATATGCATATGGAAAAATGTTAACAAGACATAAAAGGTAAATCTACACCCAAGTGTTCAAGGCCTGACAATAGAATGCATCACAATTAATTTTGTGTGTACAAGCATTACAAAAATCAAGTTTTCCAATAATTCAGAGGAAGTAGTGTGCCAAGTCCGTTTTGTGGCACTATGAGAGACAAACTTCAGCTGATGTTTTGTAAAAGTCTAACTTTTGTTGATGTTCTAGAAGATTCTATCCATCAGAAAAATCCAAAATCTTTTGAAAGTTTTCTCTATGTGTTTGCATGCTGGGTTAGTATCAACCTATGCACAGTCAGTGCTATTTTGAAATTTGAAAACAGATGGCCCACAACATGGTATTTAATGCTATTAAAGTATACTGTCTTGCCCAAGGGCACAACCACAACTTAATCAGGATATATGAGGGAGATGCTTACTATAACGGACAATTCTGACTCAGATAAGCTGTAATGACTTTACATAAAATGTAGTTAATTAGACACAACATCGAGTTTCAAAATATAACTGAACACATGCTTTTTTGAACACAAATAATAAAATTGTAAAATATAAAAGATTGTTAAAATTCAACAGGTTAACATGTCATATCTAACAGGTGAGTATTTTGACTAACTTATAAAAAACATCAAATGTTTCAACTCCATGTAATGGGAAAATACAAATGGATAATGAGAAGGTATATACTGCAATGAGGAGTACATGTATAGTTTTATTAACATCAGTAAAAAAATATGTATCATTATTTTATATATATACCTATAGTATCTAAGAAGGACGTCTCAGGTTACAAAACTAATTGTAAAGCATCTGAAGATTTGATATGAAACCATAAGCATTTCTAATTTCATTATTTTTATATACATTGTATATGGTAAATAATTGGTGAAAAACATTCAATTTGCAAATAAATCATGCTGGCTTAGTCTTCAACGTAAAGAATGTAAGAAATTATAATACTTTACAGAGAACAAATTAGAACTTGTTCTGTTTACATCTACTATAAGTATTTAAAAGACAAATGTATATACCTGTACATCTACAAGCACAGGTATGTATCATAAGACTTTATTATCACTACATTAAGTAGTTGTATTATGTAGGGTAAACAAGATTACTTGAACCTACATCTTTGGCAAGAAAAACTCTTTGCATTGAACATTTAACAATATTGTAAAAACAGAGATAAAAAATAAATAACAAGTATATAGAAAATTGCTTACGAGCTAAAAAGTTAAAAACAGAAAATGTTTTGTAACATGTATTAACTTGCTAAGAAAAGTCAAACTTAATTATATGTTGGAATAATCAGAGTGTTGTTTTACCTTAAGTTTATCTACTGTAGTGTTACCAAATCATTTCACAGGAACTAGGAATCCTAACTTAGAATTCATGATTAGAGAAAAAATCCATTCTCTTGTCTATAGAGTTTTCATACTCAAAAGAGATGGACATACTGAAAACATTTTTTTTGTCCATCAAATGACTAGAAATACATTTTAGAAAACACCATTCTCCTGACTGCATAAAGTTTTGATATTATATATGGAGTATAAAGACTGATAATGTTTGTTTTCTTACCTATCAAATGTAGTTTATCCTAGTTCAATATTTCACCACAATTATAGTAACATAATCAAAGAAGCTACTATCTAGTGGTATCATGGCATTGTATTACAGTATTTATAACATTTCTAAACAGTACTGATTGTATGAGCTGGAGAAGTATTTAACAAGCATACATTATGTTCACGCTACAGCAAATAAGGCAAGCAGAGAGGTTTGTTCCCGACTGCTATCAGCTCTCAGTGGTGTTCAGATTCTGATAAAGTGGTGAAGGACTCTCTATGACTGTTGATGTGGGGACAGGGATTGGCATGTCAATGGCTTCTTCATAGGGAGGTGGAGACTCGGGCAACCCTGGGGCCTCCTCCTGTTGGGTGTTTGCATAGGTGTGTGCGACATGGTCTCCAGGACCAGCTGGAGGTACATGTTCTTCATCACACCTGGTTACAGCTGCTACCACCGCAATCTGTGCCTCCACTGGGTGTTGCTCTCGGGGGTTTGCATTGATGTACTGGTTCTCTGTGTGTACGATAGAAAACACACACTTAACTACACATATACAGAATAACATTTTTAACAAGAAAGAAGAAAGTTCAAATATCTTGCTTGTGGGTTTTACATTCTGTTTTACAAATTTTGCCATTCTTCTGTGAGCCAGGAAAGCTATACAGTGACAAACCAGCACTAGGTAACTGAGGTTACAGTTCACAAAGATTGCCAGCCAATATCATTATACCTACTCCTTACCATCTGCTATCTTACCTCCCTCCAGATTTCTAAATAGGTAAACAGAGACTTATAGTCATATTACAGAACTTAAATAAATTTGTTTGATAATTTCAGGACTTAATGTTCTTGAGTTGGTGTGTCATGGTTGGAAACCCAAGTATAATTACTCACCAAATCCCAACTATCAATTGTCTTACCTCCTGATCTGTTATTGGCAAGTTCTGTGTAGCTGTTTGGCTGGAGACGTTGTCGGCTGTCAGAAAGACTGGTCAGGACGTGATGGCTCTCTTGTTCTTCCTCCTGATGGTAATCCTGCCGTAGGATCAGTTTCAGACGCACTGCTTTAAACACCATGATTGCCACAATGATGGCTGCAATTACACTCACACCAACAATTCCTATTTTCAGACCCAATGACATATCATCGTCCTGTTTCCTCAAGGCATCTAAAATCAAATTCAAATATATCAGATTAACAAAAGTGTATCCTGATAATCCCTCCTCCTTTATAATGAGTGTTAAAAAAATTTGTCTCAAATAATTTCATAACTACTCCTCCCTCAATAATAAACTTTCTCAATATTTTACCACAATGAACGTCCTTCTTCACTAGATATAGGTAACTCTCATTTAACTCTATTCTGTCTCCACACATCACTTTATCAAATTAACAAATTACTCTCAAGGTGTGCATATCACTCAGTAAGCAGCCCAATATCCATATACATTTATCTTCAATAAATATCACACCCTCAATAAGCACTACAACTTTTAATAAGTAACACACCCACAATAAGTAACACATCCTCAATAAATAACACACCCTCAATATGTGACACAACCTCAATATATATCACACCCTCAATAAGCACCACACCTTTAATAAGTGCCACATCCTCAATAACTTTCACATCCTAAATTAGTACCACACTCTCAATAAGTAACACGCCCACAATAAGTAACACATCCTCAATAAGTATCACATCCTCAATAAATAACACACCCTCAATATGTGACACACCCACAATAAGTAACACATCCTCAATATGTGACACATCCACAATAAGTAACACACCCACAATAAGTAACACACCTATACTAAGTAACACATCCACAATAAGTAACACATCCTCAATAAGTAACACATCCTCAATAAGTAACACATCCACAATAAGTAACACACCCACAATACGTAACACACCCACAATACGTAACACATCCTCAACAAATATCACACACTCAATATGTGACACAACCTCATTATATATCACACCCTCAATAAGTATCACACACACAATAAGTAACAAATCCTCAATAAGTATCACACCCACAATAAGTACCACATCCTCAATAAGTAACACACCCGCAATAAGTAACACATCCACAATAAGTAACACACCCACAATAAGTAACACATCCTCAATAAGTATCACATCCTCAATAAATAACACACCCTCAATATGTGACACACCCACAATAAGTAACACATCCTCAATATGTGACACATCCACAATAAGTAACACACCCACAATAAGTAACACACCTATACTAAGTAACACATCCACAATAAGTAACACATCCTCAATAAGTAACACATCCTCAATAAGTAACACATCCTCAATAAGTAACACATCCATTATAAGTAACACACCCACAATAAGTAACACACCCACAATACGTAACACATCCTCAACAAATATCACACACTCAATATGTGACACAACCTCATTATATATCACACCCTCAATAAGTATCACACACACAATAAGTAACAAATCCTCAATAAGTATCACACCCACAATAAGTACCACATCCTCAATAAGTAACACACCCGCAATAAGTAACACACCCACAATAAGTAACACATCCACAATAAGTAACACACCCGCAATAAGTAACAAATCCTCAATAAGTATCACACCCACAATAAGTACCACATCCTCAATAAGTATCACACCCGCAATAAGTAACACATCCACAATAAGTAACACATCCACAATAAGTAACACATCCACAATAAGTAACACATCGACAATAAGTAACACATCCACAATAAGTAACACACCCACAATAAGTGACACATCCTCAATAAGTGTCACATCCACAATAAGTAACACATCCACAATAAGTAACACATCCACAATAAGTAACACACCCACAATAAGTAACACATCCACAATAAGTAGCACATCCACAATAAGTAACACACCCGCAATAAGTAACAAATCCTCAATAAGTATCACAAACACAATAAGTACCACATCCTCAATAAGTAACACACCCGCAATAAGTAACAAATCCTCAATAAGTATCACACCCGCAATAAGTAACACATCCACAATAAGTAACACACCCACAATAAGTAACACATCCACAATAAGTAACACATCCACAATAAGTAACACATCCTCAATAAGTGTCACATCCTCAATAAGAACTACTTACCAGTCAGTGTAACATTGATCCTGAAGTTGTATACTCTCTTTGGTGTCACATACTCTCTGTGTAGTATAAACCGTACATTATGTTTCTTCTTTGTCATCAGAGATCTTGGATTTCTGTCCTTACAACCTAAACGTTTCTGTAACAATGAGGTAACACTAGTCACCAGTTCATCATTCAATGAATTGCATATCATGTGGGATATTTTCATATCTATAATTTAAGATGTTGAAATTTTTGTTTTACTTTCAACAATATTTTGACATTACACATTGTATAAATATTATAAAGAGTTTCAGTGATGGACTTCATGATGGGGAGGCACAGTAAATAAATCTCCTTTGAGTATCCTACTATATCAATATCCTAAAATAGCTTCACATCTGTGTAATACCTTCATTTAACATTATAACAATGTATAAATATCCATCCATGAGAACTTGACATTATGAAGTTGTCACATGATTCAACATTATAAGTTCTGTTCTAACACAACTGAATCAATTTTCAAAGTTATCCCACTAACCATAAAGATGATGTCACGATCAAATGTGACAAACGGACATTGGTGGATGATGAGTTCTACATCACAGTCAGGCATGTGAAAACTCTCAAACTCGAGTAGAAGAAACTGTTTCTGGCTCTGACTATCTGGCCCCAGGATGACATTACAGTCCTTTGACTCGGAAGCATCCTTGTAACCCACTGTCTTGGCTAGTATTAATGCCGATTCTCTCTCCTTTAGATAATCAACCATAACAGAGTTTTGATCTCGGCACACTTTTTTCTGGTCCATTCCAACTGAAAATTAAAATAGAAAGTATAGTATATAAATATTGTAAATAGTCAGCACATAAAAGTATATTACCACTGCCTACATGGCTATTTTTAGCATCATAATTATTTGGTATGTCAGCACTAAACATCTAGAAATATATAATGTTCATGTGAAAATTGTGAAAAAAAGGTGTCTTAGATATATACTAACAGTAAAAATGTAAAAGAAAAAGAAATAAAGAAAGAATTCTTTTGACCACATCTAACTAATTTATAACTATCAGTTGAGCTTTTTAAAATCACTTTGCTTTCCATGTATGATAAACTGTAATTATAAAGAATTTTTGAAGGGAAAAAATTTAAATTTTACCTAGTTTTGTGTACTTTCCTTCTGTAAATGATGCCAACACAATGAACAGGGTCCATATTTCCAACAAAGCAAGACTCTCAAAGGTAATGTAGACTCTGTAATAGACATAAAGAATATGCTAATACAAGGACTTATAGATTTACTTATATTTGCTCCTATTGAACATCCTGACCCTCTGCATCAACATTAAGGTTGAGAGGTCCCTTGTTCAAGCTATTGTGAGGGTAAGGCACTTATCATTACTCCTTATTACAGATTTGGTGGTGTATGTTGACCTCTCCAAGTGCAAGCAACTGAAGATCAAGACATTCTGAAGTAGATCTTGGGTTGTAGTTTTAATAGGATGTGAAGACTTTGTGACAGTGAGAGTATATAAACACTTATGTAGAGGCTAAGAGTGAAGGTCACATTGATAGTCTCAACACTAATAACTTCCCTTACCTATCTAGAAAATGGTGTCCACATTGAGAGGTAGACATCACTACAGAGGCATCACAACGTAATTATATAAACTCTCCTTCCTATAAATCTTGTGATTTAGTTAATATCTTAAATAGACATTTGGTCCTAATGTCAGTTATTCATATTTTTAAATCATTTTTTCACTTGTTTTAAATTTCAATTTATTGTAGTAGATGTGGCATGGATCAATTTTCTGCAACCAGGCAGCTAAATTTGTTCAGAGCTAATCTAAACTTTGGATGGTTCTGGGTTCAAACCCATGCATTTTTCCCTACCTATTGCATTACAAAAAATTAAAAAGTTCTTAAGAGGCTATAAGTACTAAACCAACATCTTCAGGAAGAAGTATCCCACTTAATAGGAGATGGTTAGCAAATCATCCAACTGTAACCAAAAGAGTAATGGAAAATACCCTCCCCTGCATTTCATCTTTCAGTCTCTAGCTGGACACTCCACTGCTTGACTAATTCAGGGGAACTTTCCCCTAGCCCAGGCTAGGAAGGCGACCTGAAATCTCTCTTTCTACACTACTCTTCTCTTCAAAATTCTTCTCCTGATGAAGACAATGGCAACCCTGGTTTAATATCTCCAAGTGAGTATCTCATTCTCCAAAAGCTTCTACTCTCAGAATTGTTAAATGAAATTAATTTGTAATAGGAAAGAGTAATGAAAAATACCTTGCCTTGCTGGGGTTCAAAGTATTGACCTTTCAGTCTATAGCCAGATTCTTTATCACTAGCTTGAGTACTGGGGAATTTCCACCAGTCGAGACTACAGTAGTAAGGTGACCCAAACTCTCTCCTACACAATAATAAAGGAGAAAAACAAACTAACCAGTAGCCTGAAAGGTTAAGACTATCTATTTATTAATTCATTTTTGTCTTGGTTGCGATGGGTATTTACCACACCACAACCAAGAAAAATATGAAATTGCGGATATAGTCTGAACCCTTTGGAATAACTGACCAAGTGTTGAAGTAACACATCAAATAACAGATAATTTACAAAAATGATTAGAAGGGATGAGGTGACTGTGATTTTTTAAAATTTCAAAGTATTTGAGTCCAGGACTCATGCTTTTCCTGTGGGACTCTCAAATTTTGAGAACCCACTATATTTCTATGTATGCTGCTCTAGATCTGGTTCAACCTGGAAAAAAAATCCTGCATATATTACTGTTGAGAAATCATGTCAATTAGCAATGACTCTTGTGCGGAGACCATATCTAGTGAGTTATAGCAATGTAAAATATTACACCATTTGATATTAACATTACAGCTTTGTTACATATCTATTGTTCCGAGTACATGAGATACAGATACAAACATGCATTGAAGTGTATACGTCCAGTGCAGTAATCTGTTAATATTGATATAAAATCAATCCATCGAAAAAGAAGAAGGAAAATGGCGTGGAGGAGTTTTCATTTTAACTCACATTATTTGTTTGTTAGTTTAGTTGTTTGCAGTGTTTATCGCCCACGTGAACAGTCAAGGTCATTTTGACCCTATAGTCACAAGGACCTGTATACCCGGTAGCGTACCGACGATCCACCTCAATTAGTACTAGTTGCCTACATAAACTCGAAAATTGGTAGTACACGAATACTTGTCCACGCCCACTTCTCGTTTATTCAACATAGACATCATATTTGAATATAATACACACGCGTGGCAAAAGATAAGTACCAACCTTTTCATTATCAACCATAACAATCAGCTATAAACGGAATGCATTTCTTCAAACTAAAATAAAATCACACTGAAAATAGTACTTCAAAATTACGAGTGTTTTTCATGTTATTTACATGTCTTCAATGTCTATGATATGCTTCACCTCTATTTGTTTGAAAAGAAGCGTTTTCTTGCTCTCGACGGGCACCCCGCAAAAAAAAATACTAATAAACCCAATAAAGAATAAAAATTCCGGATTACCACATGAGTTTGAGAATAAAGAAATAACAAGAGTATAAATTGTAAACTAAAACATTACGATATCACATCATTTTTAAAAACTTTACTATAAATAAAGATTATACCTAACCTTAACAAAGATAGTTTTAATGAGGGGGAAAAATTACCATCGGAAGACTCTAATTTTAGATTCTCCCAAAAGCAAACTCGTATACGCCCCCAAGACGGATGTTGATTGATGCTGGCACGAACTGATACGTAAATAGCGATAACGAAAATGTGCGGCTCGCCATGGCGGTTTTTGAGAAGAAAAAAATCTTGAAAGTGACACTAGACGACACTGTAAATCTTTCGTGTGTGATCGAAACTGCAGAGAAGAAAACGGACCACATTGTAAGTTGCCACTTTCTGTTTATCTGTCTATAATAGCTACTTTCTCACGTCGTTGTAATGATTTTAGCAAGACCCGGATACAGACATATTTTTACTATCTTCGCGCGAAGGTAGCATTAAAGTACAATGTACGTGGCATATAATATATGTCACGTCTCAAGAGACCTGTAATATAGACATGGTGTCAGTTTTATGTCAACACTATAAGTTATTATTGTTGTTTTACAATAAGGATGTTTTATATAGTTATATAGATTGCAAAAGATGATTCGGCTGCCAGTTGGACATCATTAATGAATATAATGATGTACACTAACATGTGATGTGGTAGGGACTGTGCCCCCAGACAGAAATTGACCCCCTTCTTTTATGATTTTCCTGTTTTGTTTTAATTTTATACGGAAAGACTTATCTTGTTTTACTCCAACAATGTTACAGTTTTACATGATGAGAAACTTCTGACAAGTGCCTGTCACAGGTGGTTCAATAATGTTTAATAGGAATAACCTAATTTTTGACATGTTATTGACTAAAAATTGCTGAAATCGACCTGCAGCTCTCCTATCCCATAACTTTTGCTGATAAACTATGTACATAACACTGGAGTTGGTTAAGTTGCATAATGTATACCATCTGTTCAAAGAACATGAGCGCTTGTCATTGATTTGTTGAGTTCCACTGGTATTCTTAAACTGAACAATTTGATCACTAATCTGCAAGTAATACAAATAAGACTATTAGATATTGCAAAAAAATGCTATGTACAAGCAGGGACGTATAATACAGATATTATTGTAAAATCTGTATTATACGTCCCTGGTACAAGCTATACCAAAACATTTCATTTAATATCAGTATGTGTTATAAACCATTAGTAATACAATTAGATATAGTCTAAGGTAATGTATGATCGACCAGTTCAGTGGCATACAATAATGTATATGTAGTGTACCATAAGGGGAGATAATCTACCTGCTCAATGCCATACAACATGTAGTATAAGGGAAAATAATCTTTTCGCTTGATGTCATACAATTATTCAAACAGAGTATAAAGGGAGATAAGCTAAACTCTTGCAGAGTTACATAATAATGTATGTATGTGTAAAAAAATGTATATATGAATGGTGTGTACATCTGTATGTACTTGTATATGTATGTTGATGTGCATTTGTAAAAACATGTAAAATACATATGTGTATGTTATTGTTATTATCTGTGAAAAACGTGAAAAATCATAATGATAAAAAAAAATTATAATAATGTGTTCATAATGTATAAGGGGAGATAATCCGCCCGCTCAATGTCATACAATGATTAAAACATTGTTTAAAGGTTTTACCCACTCAGTGTTATACAATTATGTACCTGATATACATATGATAAGGGGAGATAATCCGCCCGCTCAATGTCATACAATGATTAAAACATTGTTTAAAGGTTTTACCCACTCAGTGTTATACAATTATCTACCTGATATACATATGATAAGGGGAGATAATATACCTGCTTAGGTGCAAATAATACATGTATAGATCTCTCTAAGAATAAAATGTTATTATACATAACTTGACCAGTCATTTCTAGATAGAAGACACCAAGATGTAGCCCTGACTTTAGGCCAAACTCTAGATCCTTCTGGTTTTCAACTTTTCACAGCTACATGTGTTTCTATCATAAATCTTGAAATGATATGACTGTCACAAAGAACAGTCTTACATCATATCATACAGGAAATGAAATCACATGTAGTATTTTCATATCACCAAGAGATTACATGGAATATATAGTGTATTGGTTTGTCATATTTGGTCTTGTTTATGAAAGTTTAATTTTAACAGATAAAAACATAATGAAAGGAGTGTTCGGGAAGTAGATATATCCATGATATTTAATTTGACAAAGATTTGCATGGTAGATTTCATCAATAAAGATGTCTACTCCCAGAACACAGAGTCTTATTTTCTTTGTAATTTTTCTTGGCTCTCTGTACATGTGTAAATCATTCTTGTGGTCATGTTTTGCCCTTATTTCCTCAATTTGGAGATGAAGTAAGATTTTGTGTTATTTTCTTGTCTTTTTGAAGGCATATACTCTTCATGTTCAGAGAGGTCCAAAGCCAGAGAATTCATGGACACTTACCAAAAGATATAGTGACTTTGCATCCCTCGATTCACAGCTCAAGATTTCCAATATAGAAATTCCTCTGCCTCCAAAGAAAGTGTTTGGAAATTTCAGTCGTGAGTTTGTAGCAGAGCGACAACAAGGTCTACAGGTACTTTTTTATTTGCTATCATTTCTCTGCTATCATGTGAAGACAACATCTGCTGTACACCTCTTGACATTTCAACACAGTAATTAGATTTGGGGGTGTACATACAAACTTACTGTTATAACTGGAAATATTTACATACACATGAAATGATTGATTGATACACTAATTTACAAATACAACAGTTCATTAAAAATATACAATTCATTTATAACTCAAGTTGACTCCGCAATTAAACATCTAATCTTTGTTATAATTTTGTAATTATACTGATGACAGGAGATTGCTGATGTTTTCCTGTAGTTTTTATGTAACACTGTCTTCACTACACCCCAGCTAATTGTTTGTTGTATCCATTTTACCAGACTTACTTGAATGCAGTGCTTGCTGAACCTTTACTAGCTAGGTCAGTCTTTGTTAAACAATTCCTCGATACCAACAATTATGCTGACAACATTCCAGGTAAGTTTTCAATTTTTCATGGTTTAAAATTTTTACATCTATTATTGTGAGGCACAGTGATTTCACATAAAATTTATAGAAATTTATTATAAGCTTGTAGTAAAAAGCTGAAAAAAAACTTCTAGAAAATAATTTTCTGTAAATATAAAGTTGTCTTTTCATTTTGCATCCAATTATGTTACATCAAACTTTATCTCATTAAATGATGAATATTTTATTGTACTTAAATGTAATGACTGGCACTGGTATACCTGCAGTTCTTGCCCTCCAACATGTGTCGATGGTGTTCCGGTCGGAGAAGCGGTGGGAGGTGGTGGAGACAATACCAGACTTGGGCACAAGGTTACGTAAGACCTACGTATTGGTGAAGCCTGTCGACCAGCCGAAACAGAGACAGCTCTTGTCCTGGGTTAGTTCTGTCTGTACTATCTACTTCATCATTTATTGGTTTGTGAACTCACATTTTGCAAAACATCAATCTGATTAACTCAATTTTTAAAAAATGTTCGATGAACTTAAGTTTTTAGTCTTGCCTTGCTGATCAAAGAAAATCTTATACCTGGTTGATATTTATATATGGTTTCCATGGACTCAGTGTTAAAGTACAATAGATTAAGCAAAATTAAAAGTAAAATTAAATTTTTGTTTTTCAAATTATTCATTAAGATTTACATATTAAACCTGTATGATGGTATCAAACATGTTGAACATAGTTTTCTCTGTGATAAAAGTTATTTCTAGCCTTTAAGTTTATAGCTTAACCTCAAGATATAAAAATGACCACAACAATTAATCATATAAAGAAAATGGTGGTGCAGCTTTAATTTCATTGCCTCAGTTTTAGACAATATCTTCCCTGCACTAATTCAATTGACGATATTTTGGTAAGTTTGGTTTTATTTTTTTTTTTTTTTTTTATTCAACTAGGTTGACTTCGGACCAGACAAGAACATTCCAGATAAAGAGTTGACTGCAATCCTAAAACTGTTTCCTTCAATACAGGTAGATAATTATGTAGATTAACCCTGTGTGATAAGACAGGGAAGAAAGCTACATGTATATCACATGAAATTTAAATAAAAAAGCAGACATTTTATTTGAACACTAGGTAAACAAAGGAATGGAAGTTCTGATAACACAACCAGTGGAAGATTTTAGTGTGACCAGTGTAGAGTGTACTGGCACTATGTACATAGTGTAGGAGATGATTTGAAATCAACCAATTTTTTGGCTGCACTATAATCCTTTGTACACTAAGGTTGAAAATATGTGAAGAGATGGTAAACAGATTATAGACCCAAAAATGCACCATATGGTAACTATGTACTGTAGTCGATTCGGCTACGCTTTTTGACCTTAGTGTACTTAGGATTATAGTGGAGCCGAACATGTTAGTTGATTCTATACCATCTCGTACACTACGTATGTCAGTGCTAGTACACTCCATACTGGTCATTTGTCTGATGAAAGTGACCGTGTTGTCATCGTTTTGTCACATTCAAATCTTCTACTGGTCGAGTTATAAGAACTTCTATTCATTTGACATTACCAACCTGAAGAAAATGTTTCAAAATAATAGTGAAATAATTTTTTAAAAAAATGAATGTTGTTTAATGAAATGTGCAGTTTATTTATTTGATTGTTGCTAATTTTGTAATTGAATTATTTTTGTAAATCCAGCATCCCTACATCCTTCCCTACCCATTTGCTGGATGTAGTGAGAGTGGGGGAATGGTGATCCAGGACTACATCGAGCGTGGGACGATGAGGGATATGTTGTGTAAATGTAAACCAAGGTCTCACTACTTAAAAAAGTACTGTAAACCAAAGAATGTAATGCCTGTAGACTTAAGTGTGGTGAAAATCCTGGGGCGCATGATCCTAGAGAGTTTACAGTTCCTGCATGATAAGGGACTACCTTACGGTGAGTGACAAACACATAAAGGGACCACCTCACCTTATAACTCTTTTTACAGATAAATTTGTATTGTTTCATATTGTAGACTCTATATTGGTCTGTGGCTGTCTTTGTGAGGAATTCTCTCACAGTTGGTCGAATCTAGGCATGTAAACTGATGTAACAGGTAACTTGTTACCCATTGATTGTAGGTCCCATCCTTAATGGTAACTTGTTGTTTAATACAGATCTTCTGTAACTGTTGTTACCTGTTGTTTGATACGGGCCCTCTGTACTTTGTTTTGTGTTACCAGTTGTTTGAAACAGACCCCTTTCACTAATTGTTACCTGTTGTTTGATACAGTCCCCCTTCACTAATTGTTACCTGTTGTTTGATAATGTTGTTTGATACAGACCCCCTTCACTCATTGTTACCTGTTGTTTGATACAGACCCCCTTCACTAATTGTTACCTGTTGTTTGATAATGTTGTTTGATACAGACCCCCTTCATTCATTGTTACCTGTTGTTTGATACAGACCCCCTTCACTAATCGTTGCATGTTGTTTGATACAGACCCCCTTCACTAATTGTTACCTGTTGTTTGATACAGACCCCCTTCACTAATTGTTGCATGTTGTTTGATACAGACCCCCTTCACTAATTGTTACCTGTTGTTTGATACAGACCCCCTTTACTAATTGTTACCTGTTGTTACATATAGACCCCCTTCACTAATTGTTACATGTTGTTTGATACAGACCTCCTTCACTAATTGTTACCTGTTGTTACATATAGACCCCCTTCACTAATTGTTACCTGTTGTTTGATACAGACCCCCTTCACTAATTGTTACCTGTTGTTTGATACAGACCCCCTTCACTAATTGTTACCTGTTGTTTGATACAGACCCCCTTTACTAATTGTTATCCTGTTGTTTGATACAGACCCCCTTCACTAATTGTTACCTGTTGTTTAATACAGACCCCCTTTACTAATTGTTACGTGTTGTTTAATACAGACCTCCTTCACTAATTGTTACCTGTTGTTTAATACCATTCCTTTGTACCTGTTATTACTAGGTCACCTTCATGCTGGTAACCTGCTGTTTAATGGTAAGAAGTGTCAGCTGCTGGAGCTACACAACTCACTGTTGGGTCTGCCATCATATTACAGACCTTTTTTTATACAGTTCAAAAAAATAAAGGTAAGATTTTTATATCTTGGACTTGGTGTTGTATACTTCTTCACTAACAGGTATAGATGCTTAGAATATTTTGTTCTAGATGCACTTTAACAATAATGTTTAGCAGGATGTTTTGTTTTTAGATTTGGATAAGAACAGACATGTGTCTACAGTAAATCATTTATTGGTTTGATGCTCGACAGTAATCAACAAAATATGTTTTCATATTTCTAAGAAATGGTAGCAGTAATGGATGACTACCTGGGTTGTAGATGAAGGTTTAAATGTTCTTACTTTGGATGTTTTGTAGACAACTGAGATTGTGAATGTTTACTGTTTTGTAGACAAGTGTGGATGTTTACTGTTTTGTAGACAACTGAGATTGTGGATGTTTACTGTTTTGTAGACAACTGTGGATGTTTACTGTTTTGTAGACAACTGAGATTGTGGGTGTTTACTGTTTTGTAGACAACTGTGGATGTTTACTGTTTTGTAGACAACTGAGATAGTGGATGTTTACTGTTTTGTAGACAACTGTGGATGTTTACTGTTTTGTAGACAACTGAGATTGTGGATGTTTACTGTTTTGTAGACAACTGTGGATGTTTACTGTTTTGTAGACAACTGAGATTGTGGATGTTTACTGTTTTGTAGACAACTGTGGATGTTTACTGTTTTGTAGACAACTGAGATTGTGGATGTTTACTGTTTTGTAGACAACTGTGGATGTTTACTGTTTTGTAGACAACTGTGGATGTTTACTGTTTTGTAGACAACTGTGGATGTTTACTGTTTTGTAGACAACTGTGGATGTTTACTGTTTTGTAGACAACTGTGGATGTTTACTGTTTTGTAGACAACTGAGATAGTGGATGTTTACTGTTTTGTAGACAACTGTGGATGTTTACTGTTTTGTAGACAACTGAGATTGTGGATGTTTACTGTTTTGTAGACAACTGTGGATGTTTACTGTTTTGTAGACAACTGAGATTGTGGATGTTTACTGTTTTGTAGACAACTGAGATTGTGGATGTTTACTGTTTTGTAGACAAATGTGGATGTTTACTGTTTTGTAGACAATGGAGATTGTGGATGTTTACTGTTTTGTAGACAACTGTGGATGTTTACTGTTTTGTAGACAACTGTTTTGTGATTGTGGATGTTTACTGTTTTGTGAGATTGTGGATGTTTACTGTTTTGTAGACAACTGAGAACTGTGGATGTTTACTGTTTTGTAGACAACTGAGATGTGGATGTTTACTGTTTTGTAGACAACTGAGATTGTGAATGTTTACTGTTTTGTAGACATGTTTACTGTTTTGTAGACAACTGAGATTGTGAATGTTTACTGTTTTGTAGACAACTGAGATTGTGGATGTTTACTGTTTTGTAGACAACTGAGATTGTGGATGTTTACTGTTTTGTAGACAACTGAGATTGTGGATGTTTACTGTTTTGTAGACAACTGTGGTTGTTTACTGTTTTGTAGACAACTGTGATGTTTACTGTTTTGTAGACAACTGTGGATGTTTACTGTTTTGTAGACAACTGTGGATGTTTACTGTTTTGTAGACAACTGTGGATGTTTACTGTTTTGTAGACAACTGTGGATGTTTACTGTTTTGTAGACAACTGAGATTGTGGATGTTTACTGTTTTGTAGACAACAACTGAGATTGTGGATGTTTACTGTGGATGTTTACTGTTTTGTTGTGGATGTTTACTGTTTTGTAGACAACTGTGGATGTTTACTGTTTTGTAGACAACTGATGTTTACTGTTTTGTAGACAACTGGATGTTTACTGTTTTGTAGACAACTGAGATGTGGATGTTTACTGATGTTTACTGTTTTGATGTTTACTGTTTTGTAGACAACTGAGATTGTGGATGTTTACTGTTTTGTAGACATGTTTACTGTGGATGTTTATGTTTTTACTGTTTTGTACTGTTTTGTAGACAACTGAGATTTTGGATGTTTACTGTTTTGTAGACAACTGTGGATGTTTACTGCTTTGTAGACAACTGAGATTGTGGATGTTTACTGTTTTGTAGACAACTGTGGATGTTTACTGTGGATGTTTACTGTTTTGTAGACAACTGTGGATGTTTACTGTTTTGTAGACAACTGAGATTGTGGATGTTTACTGTTTTGTAGACAACTGTGGATGTTTACTGTTTTGTAGACAACAACTGTGATGTTTACTGTTTTGTAGACAACTGAGATTGTGGATGTTTGTGTTTTGAGACAACTGTGATGACTGTTTTGTAGTTTGTGGATGTTTACTGTTTTGTAGACAACTGTGGTTGTTTACTGTTTTGTAGACAACTGTGATGTTTACTGTTTTGTAGACAACTGTGGATGTTTACTGTTTTGTAGACAACTGAGATTGTGAATGTTTACTGTTTTGTAGACAACTGAGATTGTAAATGTTTACTGTTTTGTAGACAACTGTGATGTTTACTGTTTTGTAGACAACTGTGGATGTTTACTGTTTTGTTGTTTACTGTTTTGTAGACAACAACTGTTTTGTAGACAACTGAGATTTTGGATGTTTACTGTTTTTTAGACAACCGTGTATGTTTACTGTTTTGTAGACAACTGAGATTGTGGATGTTTACTGTTTTGTAGACAACTGTGATGTTTACTGTTTTGTAGACAACTGTGGATGTTTACTGTTTTGTAGACAACTGAGATAGTGGATGTTTACTGTTTTGTAGACACTTGAGATAGTGGATGTTTACTGTTTTGTAGACAACTGAGATTGTGGATGTTTACTGTTTTGTAGACAACTGAGATTGTGGATGTTTACTGTTTTGTAGACAACTGAGATAGTGGATGTTTACTGTTTTGTAGACAACTGATATTGTGGATGTTTACTGTTTTGTAGACAACTGAGATTGTGAATGTTTACTGTTTTGTAGACAACTGAGATTGTAAATGTTTACTGTTTTGTAGACAACTGTGGATGTTTACTGTTTTGTAGACAACTGTGATGTTTACTGTTTTGTAGACAACTGTGGATGTTTACTGTTTTGTAGACAACTGAGATTGTGGATGTTTACTGTTTTGTAGACAACTGTGGTTGTTTACTGTTTTGTAGACAACTGTGATGTTTACTGTTTTGTAGACAACTGTGGATGTTTACTGTTTTGTAGACAACAATGTTTACTGTTTTGTAGACAACTGAGATTGTAAATGTTTACTGTTTTGTAGACAACTGTGATGTTTACTGTTTTGTAGACAACTGTGGATGTTTACTGTTTTGTAGACAACTGAGATAGTGGATGTTTACTGTTTTGTAGACAACTGATGTTTACTGTTTTGTTGTGGATGTTTACTGTTTTGTAGACAACTGAGATTGTGGATGTTTACTGTTTTGTAGACAACTGTGGTTGTTAACTGTTTTGTAGACAACTGAGATTGTGGATGTTTACTGTTTTGTAGACAACTGAGATAGTGGATGTTTACTGTTTTGTAGACAACTGAGATAGTGAATGTTTACTGTTTTGTAGACAACTGAGATAGTGGATGTTTACTGTTTTGGACATCTGTTATTTGAGATGTACTTTGGTGAGCAGTTGAAGCAGCCAACATGTGATAGATTTCCCCCAGACTGTCCGCCTCAACTCCGTATGTATTTGTTATGTTTACATTCCCATCCAACTTCTGATGTTTTCTAAATTCCTTATGCATAACTGAGGAATCTTAGACAATTTTATATTCCATAAGTTACAAGTTTCCTCCAGTCTGCCCTGTTTAACTCTGTACATATTAATACTGGTTATCTTAAATCACGTTAAGGTCTGTCTTTTTTATTTTATTTAAAGGATCAGTCTTGGAGTCAATTTTGACAACAGAAGCTTGTAAGAATGGTCTGCCTACAGTGCAAGATTTGTTGTCCCACACGTAAGTACAATATATGACTGACAGCTTCAGCTTTACTGAGGATGTACCCTACATAAGTATTAAACTTTCTATATACTTTTGATCAGTGGATGGGTATTCAATTATTCTGTTAGGTCAAAGGTTAAGGATTTTAAGTTTAAGATTATGATATTTCAAACCATTTAGTATTAGTGATGTGTCACTCCCAGTAACATTATGTGTTTAATTTCAGACTTATTAATAATGTCACACTCTCTGTAACATTATGTAATTTTAGACAATTTAGTGATGTCACACTCCCTGTAATATTTTGTGTACAATTTCAGACTATTTAGTGATGTCACACTCCCTGCAACAGACAAACCCATCCTTAAGATCCCCAGCAAATTGAAGGAGGCTATCCGCCAGGCTAAGGAGGAAATGGAAGGTCGCCTTCAGGAAGAACAGAAAGTTGTAAGTATTTAAGAGGAAGAATTGTCAATCAGGTGAAAAAATGTTGATTTAAATGTGTCAGAAATGTAACACCATAAAAGGACAAGAAGACAAATAGAGAGTATAAAAAGACAGAAAATAGTGTGACTGAATAGAGCAGAAATTCTTAAGAAGAAAAGCACAAGAAAATCTATTGGGTGTACGAAGCATTATATAACCAGAAAATAAAGAGAAATTAAATGAAATGGAAAATTGTCAGTTCAAAAGGAACAGGAAATCGCAAAGAGTAGGAGACACGCCAGTATAGGAGGCACATCAGTATTGAGTATTAAGGAGGCACGTCAGTATTGAGTATTAAGGAGGCACATCAGTATTGAGTATGAAGGAGGCACATCAGTATTGAGTATTAAGGAGGCACATCAGTATTGAGTATGAAGGAGGCACATCAGTATTGAGTATTAAGAAGGCACATCAGTATTGAGTATTAAGGAGGCACGTCAGTATTGAGTATGAAGGAAGCACATCAGTATTGAGTATTAAGGAGGCACATCAGTATTGAGTATGAAGGAGGCACATCAGTATTGAGTATTAAGAAGGCACATCAGTATTGAGTATTAAGGAGGCACGTCAGTATTGAGTATGAAGGAAGCACATCAGTATTGAGTATTAAGGAGGCACATCAGTAGTGAGTATTAAGGAGGCACATCAGTATTGAGTATAAAGGAGGCACATCAGTATTGAGTATTAAGGAGGCACATCAGTATTGAGTATGAAGGAGGCACATCAGTATTGAGTATGAAGGAGGCACGTCAGTATTGAGTATGAAAGGATCAAAACTAAACAGGGTGCATATAGAAACAAATAAATAGTATATATTTTGTCATCTACAAGGTACATTAATGAAAATACTTTTCCTGGCACCATTTTGTCTTTATTGGCCTCTAGTCTAAAGTCATTGATGTTTACCTGTTATGTTCTGTACATACTACATTCATGTACTTGTATTTACTATGGAACAGTTTCACAAAATCAAGAGGATTTCTAAAGCCAAGGAATTCCACATGTCTGAGGAAGAAAAAAAGAAAAGAAGAAAGTCCAAGAAGGTATCAACATTTTATTTTAAATAGAGTTAAAAGACAAAAAATAGACAGAATGGCCTGGTGTGTCACTAAACTGAGTCTGAAGTACTGAAACAGGCTCCTTTTATTTTTCAGAGTTTTGCCTTTTTGCCAAAAGTTTGTAGTGAAAAGGATATTATTTATGTAATTTTGCTGTGTCCTTATGGCAGCTCTGAAGTAGATTTATTGTATTGTCAAGGTATCCATTTTTTTTATGCACCCCGAAAGGAGAGCATGTTGTCACTGCTTTGTCTCCCCTTCCATCATAACACAAAAACTATAAAAGGTATCAACACCATATACATATATCACAACAAAGAAAAGTGCAGTGCACCAGGACCATCACTCTTTTTGCTTGATTTAGGAGTTATTGCCCTTTGTTATTTCTCATATTTAAATTTTGTCTGGAGCATTACACTATCCTATAAGAGGTATCATCATCAAATTTCTTTGTTAGATAGATCTCAGCGAGAAGGAGGGCAGTGTACAAGAATCATAAGTCCCTTATTGTACTTTCTTATTTTTCATACTTAAATTTTGTCCCATTCGGGGCCGTCTCTGATGGCCCTTGTTTTATTGTCAGCATAAATTCCCTTTATATATGTAAACACATTCAGCACTGATGAAAATTACTTTGCATAATATGTTACTGACAGCTGATGCCTGTACAATTGTGCTTTTTCTTATCCTGGTTTAATTTTCAATGCCCAACATTTCTGTCAGAGCTCTAGTAATTTTTGTACATTTACCACAACAGCTCTAAACATCAAACCAACTGGTCGGAGGTCATTAAAATCATATAAAAGATATTATCATAAATGTATTATAGTATAAAGGTCATGATGCAGTGTGATATAATTGATCTGTGGGTGTTACAGAAAGCATCAGAGAATGGAGTACCAGACCAAGCCACTGCCAGCTCATCAGACTCCACTGTATCATCCAGTAGCTCGTCAACAAAGACGGCGCCAGCATCTGTACCAGGTAAGGAGGATTTTGGTTGTGACAAATAGCCATATATGGATGGTGTTTGGGATTGGAGGCTGTGATTAATGCTATTTCCACACTAATACATATTTTTGATTGTGAGAGAGTTCTAACTGTTGATCTTATAGTTTTATGGAGTTATTTTCTTGTGATTTATTCATTTTCATCACAGGATCATTCATCTGTATCCCTATCAACGCTGTATTCTTAATCAAGGTTTAATCAAATGTGTCCATAGCTACATCTATAACTATAGCCAAGATTTAGTCAATTTATCTGTTATAGTTGCTCTTAATAGATGTTCAGTCAACCATTTCTATCCTCATAGCTGCTCTAAACTGTTGTTCAGTCAACCATATCTAAAGCAGTTGTTTAGGCGAATGTTACTACAGGTCCAGTCAACTGTATCTATATTATAGCTGTTCTTGGTTGATGTTTAATCAACGGTATAGATAACTATCCTGATAAATGATATCATTCATGGTTCAGTCAACCGTATCTACATTATAATTACTCTTGATAGATGTTCAGTCAACCATATCTCTTAGCTATCTACATACAAAATGTAGCTATTCTCATTTAAGGTTCAGTCAACTGAATCTATATGAAAGCTAATCAAAAATGATGTTCTGTCAACCATATCTCTTAGCTCTCCACATACAAGTTGTAGCTATTCTCATTCAAGGTTCATAGAGGTCTATCTACATTTTAGCTATTCTAAACCACTGTGCAGTCAACCATATCTCTTAGCTCTCCACATACAAGTTGTAGCTATTCTCATTCAAGGTTCATAGAAGTCTATCTACATTTTAGCTATTCTAAACCACTGTGCAGTCAACCATATCTCTTAGCTCTCCTCATACAAAATGTTGTTTTCTCACTCAAGGTTCAGTGAAGTCTATCTACATTATAGCTATTCTAAAACAATGTTCAGTCAACCATATCTATAGCTCTTTTCATTTAGTATTCAATCAGCCGTATCTATAGTTATACACAATCATTTGTCTCTGAAACTTTCCTTGTCTGATGTCCAGTCAACTGTTAACATCTGTATTAATTTGATGTTAATTCTACTCTGTTTTTTAGTATATCTTTACTATGAACTCTTTTAGCAAATTATTTTATTAAAGATTTCACTCTGTGTAGTAGTTAGATTTAATGTGTGTAAGGCTTATCTAATCAGATTTTGTAAGTAACTATTTACTTATCTTCTTGTGGTTGAATTCAGGATTTCATTTTTTTTTTCAAATTCAATGAGGCAATCTTTTTGTAAGAGACAATTTACGGAATGCTCTCTTTCCTTAATTCTTAATTTCTTTTTTATATTATTGGGGTTTAGTACTGTAATTAAAGTTTAATGTTTTATCTATAGCAATATTGTATAGACATTTGAAACAGTTATTTTAGATGTTGTCCTAGTGTCTATACAATTACAAAAGGAAAGAGAGAGGGGCACACCAGATATTTGCCTGAAGGCCAATAATATATTTCTTATCTACATATTCAGCATTTGTTGGAGGTCTATAGGGTAGGAGGATTTTACAGGGTAAGGGACATTTCATAGGGTAACAGAGGTCTATAGGGTTAGGGGGATCTTATAAGCAAAGGAGCTCTATAGTGTAACAGGGATATCGTAGGGTAAGTGGAATCTGTAGGGTAAGAGGGATTTCCTGGCTAAAGATGATCTGTTAGGGTAAGGGTCTGCCTATGAAATAAAGGAAATATTTAAGGGTAAGGAGGATCTTGTAAGATAACAGGGATCCTGTATGGTTAGGGGGATCCTGTAGGATAAGGGGGGTTCTTTAGGGTAAGAGGGGTCCTTTAGGATAAGGGAGACCTCTGCGATGAGAATGGTGTTGTACTGGTAGGAAGGAACTCTTGTTTAAATGACAGGAGAGTATACATTTGATTATCATATCTCTTTCTCCAAACTAACAGGGTATAGAGAACAGTGATAAGAGGAATCAGGGGTGAGAATGATGTCAGTGTGTAGTAATTAGGCTGTTAAATGTATATTTCAGAAGAGACAGACCAGCAGATTCACACTAGCTAGGTACTGTGTGTCTCTACTTACTTGTGCCTGCTAAAATATAACTGCATGATTAACTGGTGTTGGTCTAGCTTTTTCTGCCTAACTGAAACATGTAGTGGAATAACTAATATTATAACACATTTTCTATGTATTGTGTACTGTTTCATTAAAGTGGGGACAGTTTGTGTGTTATTTAAATGTCTACACTGGAACTGGGTCTCTCGTGACCAATATTTTCTTCTCCACTGGAAAGAAAACAAGTTGGTATTACATTGGAGAGAATGATGGTAATTATATTTAGGCTAGTGTTAGAACTGAGAGCTGATGTCTGTAATTAGTCGTTTTCAGCAAATAGTTTTAGCATTGTGTATAATTAGGCTATTTAAAGTCTGTACATGATCTACAAGGGAGATAGCTATAGTTATCGCTATTTCATGAGAAGCACTGGAAGGATGTTTTCAACCTTCATACGTAGGTTCCCCTTTGTCCCTAGTAGTACCAATCCAATTCTGAGGCTGATCAGGAAAACAAAATGGCCAAGAAGTGGCCATCTTAGATTTTGACGGTTGAAGTTTGTTATGTAATGGAGGGATATTTCTCAAACTTGATGTATATTCGTATGTTCTCATCGGTTTGTAGTTTTGCTCATTTAATTTGTATTCTGATTCGGTAAATGAAGGGCAAACAGAAGATCTTTCAAATTTTATATAATTATGAGCCCAAAAAAAAGGAACGAAGGAAAATGATCGACCTTTTAAAGCACAAATGAAGATCAATGATGAGTGCCACGAACCTGGTACTATCACTGGTTAACTTTTAATAACTAAAAAAGTATTGAACTAACAGACTATATGACTTACATGTAGAGTTAACAGTCAAAGTTAACACAGGCAGATTGTATGTGATCTGGTTAGCAGTTAACAGGTTGTGATCTAGTTAATTTATTATTAATATATTTGTGATCTAGTTAAATATTATATTTAACAGGTTGTTGTCTAGTTAATTTATGTTAAATATCTTTGTGGTCTAGTTAACAGTTATAATTAACTTTTTAACTAGTTAACAAGGTTATAATTAGCATTGTTTGATCTAGCCAAGTTATACAGGTAATGAAATATCTAGTTAATACTTACCCCAGTATGATTAATATTTCTGTGTTCTAGTTAATTTATGGTTAATGCCTTTGTGATCTTGTATTATAATTAACTTTTTTAACTAGTTAACAGTGTTATAGTTAACATGTGTTGATCTAGCAAAGTTATATTTGTAGTGTGACATCTAGTTAACACTTACCCCAGTATGATTAATATCTCTATGTTCTAGTTAACTGTTATAATTGTTAGGTTGTGATTTAATTAAGTAATGATTAATATCTTTGTATGCTAGTTACCAGTTAAATTTTTTACAGTTATGACTTAAAAGCTTTGCTTTATTTAATATTTATAATCCTCTGGCAATGACCCTCTTATCATTTACAATTTACAGATGGCTAGCTAGTAAGGAAGTGTTAGTCATTAACAGGTTGGCATCTAAGATTAAACAGGTTATGAGGAAGTTCTCATTCAGGAATTATGATGCATTGCTTATGAAAAAACTCATTTAGCTGTGAAGAAACTGTAAACCTCCAGCATAAGTAGAAGATTCAATTGGGGATTTATTTCCATTGATTTCATGGGTAATCTTAATCCATGAATTCATAGGTCTACCAACTTTTAAAATAAAACTAAATAGATTAATTAAGCTTAACTTATCCGCAAAATCAAGTGTCCGCCATGAATATTGAGTCCCGTAAAAATTTATGATTTTACAGAATGCTGTGATGTTTCTCATGGAAGAAAATATTCTGATTTTCATAAATGGAGATAATAGATAAACTAAACTAATTGGGTTTAAAAATAACCCAACAGAAACTTCTGAAAATAGAAAACGAATACATTTGTATTTATATGTTAGAAGAAATCTTTATCATTTTTAATTTTGTGATATATATATAGATATGAAAATATGCTCTTGCATGCTTTTTTGAATCTCTCTTCATGTTGTAATTTGTATATACCTCTGGTGCTGGTTGCTTATTACACAGGTCTGGTGGTTTGTGCATGTGAAGTTGGCATACATGTATATATCAATACTAGATTCTATTTGGTTTAAAACTATATAATTTAAAAAATACTTGGTGAACATGTGTGTTTACATCAATTTTGGTAATCTGAACCAACTATTTGTGATATTTCAATATCAGCTGTTGCATGACAATTGAATGTTTATTTTGATTGTTGTTAGTGAATTAAATTAAATTAAATTTTAGTGAAATAAACTTGGTGTATCTATATTTTGATATAGTAATTTTGAGTTAGATAAGGTAGAAATAATAATCATGATTTTATCAGAACAGAGGTTTGTAAGATCTTATATAGGCTGGGCAAAATGTCACATTATCTCATAGATGTTGATCTGCATACTTTACTATGCATGATCAAGGGTATTTACCGTGTTTATCAGGCAGTACACACGTGTCTGGTAATAAGCCCATCCAGGTACAATACAATTAAGTACTAAAGGGTAGAGGAGAGAGCATATAAATAAATGTACACATATGTTTATTTATTTTCATGATGGTGGAAAAAAGAGTTGTCATATCTTATTGTCATATTTATCATATGGCATTAAATCTGAAAATAATTTAAGAATAAAAACTTCATAAAAAATGATATTTTTTTAATGAAAATATATAAATATCAAATTAATCAGCAATGGAGAAATTGTATCAGTCATTTTTAAACCCCTGTTAAAATACAATAGCTTGCATTACTCCATATACTTTCATATCTTATAGTTTATTCAGTATGTTGTTGTATTTAAGCATTTTCCTTCATGATCATAAAGACAGGTATTGAACATACCTTATTAACCTATGGAAGAAAATCTGTATTTTTCCATTCTTGATGAAATCAGTTGACAATATTCATTGGTTCTTCTTGATCGACAAATAGATTTATATCTCAATATTGCTTTTTATATTTTCACAAGTTTGAATCACAAAAGTGTCTGTGAATAAAGTAAGTACTGTGAAAATGTCACATTGATTGTGTTAAAATGTCTGTATATTTCACTGGTAAAATTTTATATCACAAATATGTCCGATGTTAATGATATTGATCTAATATTGTTTCATTTGTTATATCTTGCAGCACCTCCACCCCCACCTCCATCTAATCCTCCCTCTGCTGGGGCTCCGGCCCCACCTCCCCCTCCACCTCCTCCAGCTGCTGGTGCCCCTGCACCCCCACCCCCACCTCCAACTGCCCCCTCTGGAAAAACACAACCGTCTGCGACTGGACAGAGAGGGGCTCTCCTTAGCTCTATCAACGGCTTCAATAAGGGAGGGCTGAAGAAGTGTGTCACCGTCGACAAGAGTGGTCCAAAGCTTTGACATCTTACAGTGCTAAAGGTTACTATATATGTTGTAAACTCTTTATCAATTGTTTGACTTGGTGAATATTTTTTCATCACAGGGGTCTGAATTGTTTCATCATATTTATATTGATTTTAGAAAAGTGCTTAATTCTTACCTCAGTAATGAGATATCTGACATCATTCTGTCAGCATTTGATTTCAAAAGATTTCTAAACCAGCTGACTACACTGGTGAGATTTAAGGGAAATCAGCAATGTATAAGAAGGTGAAGGGAATATCAACAGTGTATTAGTAGGTCAAGAGGAATTCAGCTGGGTTTAAGTAGGTCAAGGGAAATCAGCTGTGTGTAAGTAGGTCAAGGGGAAATCAGCATTTTATAAGTAGGTCAAAGAAAATCAGCAGTGTATAACTAGGTCAAGAGGAAATCAGCAGTGTATAAGTAGGCCAAGGGAAATCAGCTGTGTATAAGTAGGTCAAGGGGAAATCAGCAGTTTATAAGTAGGACAAGGGAAATCAGCAGTGTATAAGAAGGTCAGGAATGTACGAGACAGTGCATGATTATTGTCTATAGAAACAACATATTTGATGTTACAATATAGACCCCTGTGTGTTTGATTATTTGTGGATCAGAGTATGTCTGATATTATCCGTTCAATTTCTCATTTATTAATAGATATATAATGATAGGAATGAATGATGATGATGATTACTGTAGCCTGTAGTTGATTTATGGCAGAAAGTGAACTTCCTATGATAATCAACACTTTTATCAGTAATACTATGTGTAGGATATAGGACATGAGACATATATTATTAAAGGTATTTTACATGAGTTCTTGTATGATCCGAAACATAGTGTGGGAGTGATAGTAAATATATACAGGTATTACTCACTTACCAAAACCAATATTACAGTCATATATTTCTTTGTTTTTTATTCATTACATTCAAAATAATAATGATGTAATAATATATATATATATATTAAAATTTTAAACTCAATTTGAAATTGAGATTTCTATATATATTTTTCCAAGCAAGCATTTGCTGAAATATACTGTATTTTGTCTACCTCAGAGGAAATGAAACATTAATAAAAGTGTGATAAATTATAACTCAAACACAACTTAGGATACAAGTATCATACTGGTTGTTTTTTATTATATTCATAGGAATTATGTAAATAAACAAAAAAAAAATAAATACTCTTTACTCTCTCAATTATAATGACACTTTATACCTAAGATAAATGTGTGCATGTGATTTATACCAATTTCCTAATTCTTTATTTAAGTGATAATTTTCTTTTAAATCTAGATATAAAAATTTGTCATCCAATCCAAAGCCATCCATCCCTTCGGTGACTATAATTCTAGTTATCTTTAATCATACTTATTCAGTGGTTTAATAATAAAAAGAAGAGAAATTTATGTTAAGGGTATCAGAGCTGATGTTATTATCTCCCCTTAACAGTACCCATTTGTTGCTTGTAGTATTCTTGATCTTTTGACTTTCTCCTTAAAAATATGTTACAATTGTAAGAGGATGTAGATGGATTGCAATTTAATGGGATAAATATGGTCTACAAAATAGTGGGGAATGTATAGAGGGCATTATAATGGAATATATATAGTTGACAAAATAGTGGGGAATGTGTAGAGGGCATTATAATGGTATATATATGGTCGACAAAATAGTGGGAAATGTATAGAGGGCAATATAATGGAATATATATGGTCGACAAAATAGTGGGGAATGAATAGAGGGCAATATAAGAGGGTTTTAAGCAGTTTTCATCATAATGAGGTATGAAAAGTTTTCAATATAGAGGGATATAGATAATTTGCAATATAGTGCGATGTTATATAGTTAGTAATGTTTGGATGAGTTTTGTTAGGGTGAATGGATGTGGATAGGTGGCAGTTTAGTGAAATATAGATCTAAACAGTATGATGGGGGAATTTGTTTGCTGTATCATGGGGCAGTGGTGCAGTACAGGAGGCAGTGTAGTAGATGAGAATGATTGGTAATACCATGGGATGTGGATGGATGTACATCGTATATTAGAAAGAAAACCTGAGATTTCATTTTATTAATACTCCATACTTTATCTAAAACTTTTTTGTGATGTGTCTCTCTGTAACTAGTTATTTGAAAAGGTTATCTCCCTTCGTCCAAGCATTAGCTGTATGCCAAGAGTTTTTCAAAACATTTTTTCAATAGTTGTGATATCAAATTGATGAATTGATTCTTAATCTGCTAATAGAAACCTAATTTTCTGTATAATTCTCCTTGTAATATAGATAAGAATACAATACACCAAATATTTCATAAAGCTGTGATTCATCATCTGTTATATAATAAACACATGCCATGGATAAATTGAATTAAATTTCTCTAATTATTAATGTATACTTGTCTAAACTCGTTGAATGCAATACTTAAAAAAAACAAATCTGTTATATCAACTTTGACGTGTTAAGATTTTATTTCACTAACGCATTACAGTGTATTCCCATATTTTTTGTAATTATATGTTCACATCAACGTTTATGTCTCACTAGCATATGATGTGCATTTTTAAGTGTTATAACTTTTATGTCACGCATACATGATAGTTACAAATCAGTTGTCAATTACAATAAAAGAGTTATACTGTACAGGATGATACATGAATGAAGATTGAAGAAGAGTGAAAAGTACATTTCATATATTTCTTTTCAAAATTATAAAATGAAAAATATAACCAAGAACTAGTTGTAGTGTTGTAATAATAGATATATGTAGTCCATTTTATTTTGGGAAAGGATCTTCATCAGTTTTAAGGGTTAATTTTTTTTACCTACATTGATGGACAATATGGACCACTCTCATTTAACTTTTTGATCGATAAATTGATTGATAAATCTATATGAACGTATCATCTGAGCTGCATCCTTGATACTAAAGGGGTTACAATCACTACATCCTTGATACTCCAGGGGTTACGATCACTTCATCCTTGATACTCCAGGGGTTACGATCACTACATCCTTGATACTCCAGGGTTTACGATCACTTCATCCTTGATACTCCAGGGGTTACGATCACTACATCCTTGATACTCCAGGGGTTACAATCACTACATCCTCGATACTCCAGGGGTTATGATCACTTCATCCTCGATACTCCAGGGATGACGATCACTACATCCTTGATACTCCAGGGGTTACAATCACTACATCCTTGATACTCCAGGGGTTACAATCACTACATCCTTGATACTCCAGGGGTCACAATCACTACATCCATGATACTCCAGGGGTTACGATCACTTCATCCTTGATACTCCAGGGGTTACGATCACTACATCCTTGATACTCCAGGGGTTACGATCACTACATCCTTGATACTCCAGGGGTTACGATCACTTCATCCTTGATACTCCGGGGGTTACGATCACTACATCCTTGATACTCCAGGGGTTACGATCACTTCATCCTCGATACTCCAGGGGTTATGATCACTTCATCCTCGATACTCCAGGGATTACGATCACTACATCCTTGATACTCCAGGGGTTACAATCACTACATCCTTGATACTCCAGGGGTTACGATCACTACATCCTTGATACTCCAAGGGTTACGATCACTACATCCTTGATACTCCAGGGGTTACAATCACTACATCCTTGATACTCCAGGGATTACGATCACTACATCCTTGATACTCCAGGGGTTACAATCACTACATCCTTGATACTCCAGGGGTTACAATCACTACATCCTTGATACTCCAGGGGTTACAATCACTACATCCTTGATACTCCAGGGGTTACAATCACTACATCCTTGATACTCCAGGGGTTACAATCACTACATCCTTGATAGTTCGTGGGTTACAATCACAATCATTCTCTGCATCCCAGGAACATGTCTTGCCAAAATTGAAGGTGCAAGTAGAGTATTTGATTGGTCTAGAGCTTGTTCCAGGAGAAAAAAACTGACCAATCAGAGTTATGTATTGTTTTGCAACCTAAAGATTCCTTGATGTACATCAAAGGATAAAACTAGTCTTGTACACAAGGTGTCGCACATGGAACTTTTCATTTTGCCTTGACATGTTCCAGGGGTGCAGAGAACGAAAATGATTGTAACCCCTTGAGTATCAAGGATGTCCAAGTTTGTGAATGGATGTATTTATTGGCAGAAATAGCATGTAAATATTGATGTCATTGTATTATCTGTTACCATCAGTGAAGTCCTGTTCTCTTACTGCTGAAGTTAAACAATGTAGGATATCATCATTACATGTACATTATACATATTCATATATAATTAAACACCAATTGAGCGTATGATTTCAAGAAATGTAAGTGGTTATATATTTTAGTAGAATGTTTGGTCTGAAGTTAGACTCTGATAAATTCAGTAGTATTTTAAGAATGTGCCATAAAAACAATTTTATGTCCCGGTGTTATTGGGAAATAAAAGGACAGAATTATTTCAGTAATGTTGTCTCCTTGTGATTGATGGAGGAGGTCTGTTTATTTGTAAGTGCTGTTTTAAATGTCTGGTGATACAAGCTGTGAAAAAAAAAACATCAGCACTTGTATTGTATATGGAAACGTGACATTCCTGGTGTAGGCAGAAAGTATTGAAATGTTAATGTAGAACCGAGAGGTGTGCCAGTCTGTATAAATACATTTGAATACCCATGTTCAATACATATTTACCCATGCATATTGTTGCCATGGGGTGTTTGTTAATAGTGTTTTTACATTGTGATACTGTGACATGCTATTGAGACCGTACTTTATGCAATGTTGTTCCATAGTAATGTTTATGCTAATCCTCAAAAATCTTAAGAACATCATATTGGTGGATTTAAAAAAAAAACGTTGTCATTGTATATATTCTATAATAAAACCAGGGACCTAACACAAACCTAAGATCCCAAGACATCTGACTCAAAGTCAGGGGCCTGTGACAAACATTAAACCATCATTTTCTTTTCCAACAGGTAAAACGGGGCATGCATTCATTTCATTCTCAGTTAAAGCTGATATGGCATTTGAAATTAGATTTTATTTACAGTTATTATTATACAAAGACTAGCTCCTAATTCAAAGGCAGGGGCTCAACTCAAATGTTCCTTAAAATTTCCATCATGTTGAAAGTTTTAATTGTAGGACTGAGTCACTAAACTTCTGAGTCAGCCTGTATTGCTGTAGAGCATTGAGCATGAAAGTCAACAGTAGAGGATTTTCAACAATATAAATAGCAATTAAAATTAATGAACATACGTGATTTAATGCAAAGGGAATATTATCATCTTGTTTTAATAAAAAAACATCAAAGTAACAACGTGTTTTGTTCTCTTTTTAAAAACCATAACTCTTCTGTCTTGTCTTTCTGCCATAAATATATTTGTAACTGTTTATCCCTCTTTTTATTTGTCCATTTTCTTCCTTTCCCATGTCCAGCTTACTTAGCATTGCTCTAGTATGCACCCTTAATTAATGAAACACGCGACAAGAACTGTAATTTTGATGTGTTTATTTCCAATGGTGCAAGACATATGTGACGCATAAATCATCAATTTTGGACGCCATAGTTAGCAGTCCACTGCTGCCACCAATTTTGTTTAACCCTGTTGTTGTTTGTCCGTTATTTTCCGTTCCCGGTTCCCAGCTTATTTGGGGTCGATCTCGTATGAAACACACAAGAACTGCAATTTCGGTGTATTTATTTCCAACGGTGCAGACATGAACAATTGTACAATCTAATGGGGAATATGGTTTATTATGAGGGCCCCTGGTGATATCTCGTGCCTGGTGTAACATTTATGGAAGAGGTAAACATGTCTGTCAATCGGTGCTATGAGGATGACCCACCACAGGTCCTGGCGTTCTCTGGCGCACGCGCT